GAGATAATAAAAGTGATATGTTAGTTTGATGATTAAATCTGGTGACAAACAACTAAGGGTCGATCCGGTAGCTCGGTTTAATGTGATTAAATCTAGTTAACTGAATTAATGTGAATTAATTCAGATTAATCTTGATTAAAAGAAGTACTCTTTTAGTCGACTAAAGGTAGTGAAATCTAGCGGTTAATCAATAGATAACAATGAGAATCTAAAAATAGCTTTTTAATTGTTTGTTTTCAATCAAAACAATTGGGATTATTGTCATTTCATTGTTTTTTGTTTATTTTTCGGTAAATTTTGTTCATTTTTTGTTTAATTTGTCATCATCATCATGGTAAATTTTTCACCGATTGTTGAGCTTCCCTTCACAATAAGTTTTGATCAATTCATTGAATCTCTTGAAATAAGCCAAGAGATAGAATTACAATACTTCATTTCGAAGTTGCTACTTTTTGACCTGCTTTCCGACCTCTGTGAGGCTTAGAGACAGGGTCGTGTACCTCAACTAACGTGTCTTCATCAAAAAACGAAGGGACAAAATCGTCCATTGTTTGAAAATAAACACAAAATCAAATTCAATAATTATCTTAATGAGCACAATTAAAGGTAAATCAACATGTTACCTTTGTTATCCCTTACGCATGACTTCTTAAAAAATCATTTTTTATATCCACCGGACAGGTAAATGAATTAAACAACAAAAAACCAGTTTTTTTAATCAACTTTAAATCAGTTTGCTTAGATTAAATCACATTAAACCGAGCTACCGGATCGACCCTAAAATGGGAAAATTAAATATGGATTGATGTAAGAATTGATTCGTAGAATCCACGATTAATTAAGCAGTTAAAAAATGATTTCTATTTCAGTATCTAAATTAAGGGTCTCAAACTTTAAGAAATTTTGTTAAAAACTATGCATGAAGAGTTCTATGTTTTTATTACAATTTTTATCGCTCTAGATTAGTCTCGTTTGATGATATTTTTTATCATCATGTAAACATGATCCAATTGAGAAAAGAAAGTTCAATTATTTTAGTTGATTCAGTGTTAATATATATTAATGAATAGATCGGCAATTCGTGATGAGAAATTAGATTGAATGAAAGAAAATCAAGTTATCACTTAAGAATCAGGGAAAGTATTATTTCAATTCAATATCCGAAACTAATGATAACACAAATCAAAGGTGATCTTTTATTGTTTTTTCTCTTTCTTCCTGATTGGAATCGCTATTCAGTAAATACAATCGGATTACAATATTAAAAACCAAGGAAAACGAAAAAAAGCTTAACAATCAAGAGCTTATTGGTAAACGATTCCTATTAAAACATTTTCCCCTTCATGTATTTCAAGGTAAATATTACATGTTAACTGTTAGTATACTGATATCGTATTGCTGTTGTTGATTGATTCAGTGTAATAGTTGAGATAACAGGGTTTCCTTTGTTTACATGGGTTGTAATCTTTTGGTCAAGGGTTGAGAGGATCACATTAGGTGATTGTCCACTTTTTTTAAAAGGAAAAACAAATGAATCTTTACCTGAAATTGAAACAAGGAATTATTTGTCTCAAGGGATAGAATCAGTGATAACGGACTATTTCATTAAGTGTATTGTCTAATAGTACCAATCAATGTTAGAAATTCAGCAAGAGATAAAGTCGAATGTTTTTGGAAGGTGAAATTTGGAATGAAACACCAGAGACATGAATGGAAAAAAGAACGAGTAATCGTACGATAGTTTTTATAAATTCGAGCAAAACAAAGTTATAGCACTTTAGATATTGATTGAAGGCGAATGACCATTGGAGAGAAAGAAAAATATTTAATCTCATGTTGTTTCCATGAGATTAATTATTTTAATACTTACTATCTTCTTCTGAAAGACTTGCATTGAAAATAAAAACTTTTAGTTCCTTGGAAGCAACGAAAGTGATCATTCAATGTTTTCCTATTTTATCAATCATAACGATTGTTCAATTCTATTCGTTGTCAAATCATCTTCTTTTCCGTGATAATCTTTGCTTTCTAGTTTTATTTTTATTTTTTCAGCTCAATTCTAAATAAAAAAGGAAATAGAGAAAATAATTCGAAGTTTTCTCTTTATTCATCCTCATTACTAGTTGAGATTCGAATTCAGCCTCTCTCTTTATCTCTTTTTCTCGGCTCATCTCATCTCTTTTTTTTCCACCATCTTAATTTTCATAGGAAAAGAATCAGAAAAAAACTTCGACTTAAGTTTGATTCTCTCTTTCGAACCAGAATAATATCAATACTAAATTGGACCTTATTGGAAAAAGTTTCATCTATCTTAGACAAACAAAGGTGGAAACTTTTTTTCTTCTTCCTATTATCATCATTTTCTTGAACAAATAATAGGGAGTGAAAACTTTATTTACCTTTATTCTGGTCAGTGTTTTTTTAGTTTTCGTCTTCTATAAGTTTCATAGTTGAGATAAACTCTGAACTTTTGCATTTCACCATGAATTTTGTTGACATAATATACTAGAATATCATATATAATAATATATGTAAGAGTGTCAGTAGCATTTAACAGGATAATAATATCAAAAGTGATACAATTTTTTTCTCGCTGACCCTTGAAAGATGATGACCAAAAAACTCAATCCATCATTTGAAAGTCCAAGCGATTCATTTACATTCAATTAACTAATCAAACAATCATTTGATAACCAGATTACTTTCTTTGTATTTAGATTGTATAAGAAGGTAAAAAGCAATAGAAAATCGGCCAATTAAATATTGACATTTTAAGAAATTAAATTAATTGTAAGTAATTCAATGATTTCCATGTAATATTAATATCTTTGAATACTTTATATTCAAAGAGAAATCATTTCAATTCAGTCTGCCTGCTTATGGCTATCAAACAAATAGCTTTCAAATGAGCTAAATTATTACCTGTGGAGACTAATTTGATACCTATGAGGTTGATAAAAATTTCTATGAAAATTTTCATGAGAGAGGAAAATTCAGTTCATTTCATAAGACGATCATGATTGTTTCTCTCTCTCTCTCTCTCATAATCTGAGTGTCTTTTTGACTTTCAATATAAATAATGAGAAAGTCTCAGTTGTATCAATAAAAGTTTCTCATAAAATGATATAAAAAAGTTACTATTTACTTAGCATGTAAGTGAATGAGTGTGGAAGAGAGAGAGAGAGAGAGAGAGAGAGAGAGAGAGAGATATAGTGAAATATTAATCATCTCTCTTCATATTGTTTGTGAGATAGATATTGAAAACCAGGTAACAATTTCTAATGAATAAACATTGAGCCAAGTGATGTTACTACTTTACTATCACAATCAATTTCTTGAAAGTAATCAGGAAACTTTCATCATGAAAGAGGTGAGATTGAATATTGTTATGCAAATTGAGCCATCATGAATTTATTTGAGTCTTTTTTTTTGTTTACTTGTTCAGATTGAGATGTATGGTTAACTTAATTTACATCAATGATTGCAATCAATGTGATACAATTACAAACCATCATTTATAATCTAGCTGAATGATTAGTTTGAAAAGATTTATCTTAACAACGGTTTAGATTAGAAAACTGGAAATTGATTAAAGATTAATATAAGTTAATAAAAGAAAAGATTATCAATCTAATCTTATTGTTTGATAATCTTGTAATTATAATCAATTAACCATAATAATCAATAATGAAAAGAAAGGCAATTCCTATTGAACTGAGGACTCGTAGTGATTGAAATTAGATTTAGTTGATAACAAAAAAAAAGTGTATCTTTACTGTTTCACTTGGATAATTTTCTCAGTTCTGATGTTATCTGAATTCACCATGAAATTCAATGAAATATTCACTTTACAATGAAATTTTGCTTAGAGGGAAAAATAAATGATATTTTCTCATCTTTTTTCACCGTTTCTTTTTTCAACTGAACAATAATCTTATTCAGCAATAAGAGAATCCCCTGAATATTTCATCATGAAGAAACTAAAGGAAAAAATAGTTTCGACTTTGTAAATGTTCAGATATTACTTTAATCATCAACACATTCATCTTTCATCTGATTATGATGATATATAATTTAGCTTACGAAAATTCAGAAAAAAAGTTAAGTATCACAATAGATTCAATTTTTTTATCATCGTCATCATGATTATCACCCTGAAAATCATCTGAATTGTAGTAAAGTTCATTATTTGAAAATATCAACACATGAGTTTCATAATATTCATGATAATCTCATATTTTTGGTCAGCACTTTCAATAGGTTGTAATGAGCCCTGATAATGAATACATGATAAGTTAATCATGATTGATATCAAATTGTGAACATTTTCAAGTATTCAATTAAGATGATGCCAAGATAATCATCGTTAACGTATTAACACAACAATCAACACTCAGTGCAGATTTAACTCAAAGTAATCCCTTGATATCTATTAATTTTCATGAGTTTCTAACTGATTAGATGATAAAATCTTCATCTTTCTCTCTCACTTCCTCTCCCTTTGTCATGGTTATCGATAATATTTCATCATCTGAAACTGAATTATATTAAGTTTCCAATGAATACTATGATATTGATGAAGAATGCAAGTTCTAATTATGATCAATTTATTGGATGGTTGAAGATGAATAAAAATCAAACTTGATTACGATGATAAATAATCAAATTGTTTTACTAATTCTTGGTGATAAATTAGATACCAAGTTGAATGTTTCACTGAATATTTTATCGTACAATCAGTTAACCTTTGTAAATATCGATATTCACCCAAGTTTGATCACCTATGGAAAGAAAAAGGTAAACAAACAGAATTTTCAATCAAAATCATGTTTACTTGGGTTGACATGGAGCCCAAATTTTTTCACATCTTCATCAATTTGTTTGACTTTCAGTGAGTATAAACAATCAAGTTGACACTTTGACCATGAATGAGGACTTTGATTTATCTGGAAATTAATCAGTTAAGGACAATTTATATGTTAATCTAATCCAATACTTACAGTTTGGCAACTCCTTTTGTCATATTTCCAGGTATTCTGATGATTGTTTCACCGATACAGCTACAGGTAACTTCAATACGATCCCAACTATGAGTTGTCTCATTTTTACATTCACAATAATGTTTCTGATTATCATGATTATTGTTGTTGTTGTTGTTGTTTCCGTTTCCTCCTCTTTCACTTGGCTGTAAACCTTTTCCTCCTTCATCAACTCCCACACTAACACCAGCAACTTCATCTTGAGCCTCCATCTTTTTTACCTCATCGATAATTTGATTAATTTCATCTTCAATGGATTCCTTAATTGTAGACTCTGAATTGTCAGAATTATTTGTAACTTGAATATTTTGATTGTTTAGAGGAAGCAAGTTGACAGTTGAAGTGGGTGATGATGGAGTGAAAGTTGATAATGATGGTGGAGTTGTTGTTATTCTTGATGATGGAGCTGATGAAATCGGAGTGGTTGATGAAGATACAACTGATAATATTGAAGGAAAAGTAGATGTTGATGATCCATGATAAATGTCATTAAACGAATCACCTGAATCACCAGGGGATGAAACTATTCTTGGTTCTTGATCGGGATAATTTAAGGGAACCGATAAGACCGGTGAATCTTTGGTAACATCAGAATTAGATTGAACATTGGCTTCCAAATTATTTCCATGTAACTTATCCTCAGGATCTATTTGAACACTTTCATCGCCGGTATTGTCATTTTTACTCTTTAATTGTCCACCATCATCATCGGGAATTGCACCAAACCAGCCTCGGGGTAAATGTCTTGAATCTGAATCTCCAGAATGATGAGACAAAGTATTCACTGGCTTTTTGGTGCTTGTTGAAACTGTCAATGGACTTGTGGTCAATACTTTTGTCCCAATCTTATTTCCAGTCACCAATGGTGATGGTGTGGTCAAGGTTGGCGAGGAAAACAATCCTTGAGTAACGGTCAATCGATTGGTGATCATTAAAATGAGTACCAGTTGATTTGGAAGGGAATAAAATCTCAAGTAAAGTGGAAAAAATTTCTTATCACAAACGTAGTTGAACATTGTTCGAACTGTTCGAAAATACTTATCACAATTTAGAATTTGTAGAAAAAAAAAGAAACAATAACAACACTTAACTCGATAGTAAAAGATTCATTGTAAACATTTCAAGAGACGATAAAACATTTGTACAATTGATTCGAAAAATGTTCAATGTTTTATTGCTAAGGAACGAAAATAAAAGTTTATCGAGTTTCTCATTTGTTTACCTTTAACATTTGTAGAAATGAATAATTTTTGTTCAGTTTCGAGATGATAAGAAATCGAGTTCAAGTTTCATTTGGACATATCGAAGACTCGTTAAGAATCAATTACAATTTATCTCTTTCTCACTTAACTTTTATAATGAATGGTTAAGTTGATCAAGTTTATTTCTCATTCTGATCATCAGAACTTTTCTCATCTTCAGATTAGACTCATGCACATGCGTTCCGATCAATTCTGGATAAAGAAAATGCTTTTTACTTAATAATATTAAACGAATGCTAATATACATGAACATTAATAAGTTTCAGTAGAATATTTTTTTTTTAAGATAATCAAACAACTTAATTAGAATAAGAATAAGTTAATTGAACGAAAATTGTGATTCTCGATCAAATATGAAACCATAGAAATCCATTAGGAATTGTTTCATCTAATGAACACTTAGAAAATCATTTGAATCATAATAAGGAAAAAAAAACTTTTCCGTTTTCTTAATAATCATTATTAATTCATCGGCGATTTCATGGAAATTTGAATAAAAAAAGCTTTTCTCTTCATGATTAGTTAATGAATTCAATCAACTAATCATATTATCCTTGAAAACTTACATATTGATACATTTGATTGTCAAAAGTTTCCAACTGATTTAATCTCATTTGAATCTATTGACCTTTCAAAACTTCAATTACCTTCAATAATTTACTATTTAAATATTTAATTGAAATGAAATGAAGCAAAATTTAAATTCAAATCATTAATACAAATAGATTGCTGATTGTTAATTAATTTCAAATCTCAAATTAAATTGTCTCTTAATCACATAGAGACTAAGGCCATCTATCAACAGAAATTAACACTAAACTGGTTGATAATTTCATCTTTTCAATTGTTATCAATTTAAACTGAATTAAACCCGATAAAGTTTCACTTTTTTTTTATAAAAATTAATCAAATTACTTTTCCTCATTAAGCTCGAGTACAATTGAACTTAATCATCTTGTTCATTCATCAGAAAATTACTTCCCAATTAACTTTACACTAATTAATACTACAAATTATTAATCTTTAATACAATCAAATGATTAGATTGTTACATTGAATTGAGATTTTGTGTTTTCTTTTTATATATTACTTTGGTTGTCATTTTATTAATTACTTTTCATTAAGATTACTAATTGTTTCGTCTATTACAATGATTAGAGTTTAAGATTTTGTGCTCCAAGAAAACGAATCAAAAACAATTGGATTAATAAGTGAATTAGTGATAATCTATTTTGTTTTAAAAAAAAGTTATTCCTTTGCTCCAGTTAATTGGATTAAAAATAGTACAACAACTAAATCAGTTTAATAGTATTAGTTTACCGTTACTTTCACTACGGATTTCAAATTGATTAATTAACCTTGATTGTTTCGAAAGACTTTTGTTTTTTTTTCTCAATCACTGATAATATGAAAATAGAGAACAAAAAATTTTCTAATTTATTTTTTTTTTCTCCATTCATATTAATAGTAACAATACATTTACGTTTCTCTTTCCATTGATTAGTTTTCCTTCTTGCTTTGAGTTACCATGATGATTAAACTAATTGCTTGGTGAGATTTCCCCTTGATTTTGATTAGATTTGCACAATTGTAAATATAATTGGTTAAGTTAATCGTTAGTCTTTTTTTTTCTCTCTTCTTCTCTCTAATCATCATTCTAATCAACAATTTACGTAATAATAATGATCATAGAACTGATATAAGAATGAAAGTAAAACTAACAAGTGAAAGTGATGAAGATGTTGATGGAAATGTTGATGATTATTGCTTGATGAAAAGTAGGTTAAGTAATCGGATTTGTTGATGTTGATTTTTTTTTCTCGAATTAATTTAAGTGTAACATTGATAAAAGTTGATATTCTATGGCCATAAATCACTTTGATTGCATCACAACTTGTCAGTATTTCTCCTTTAATTCATTTAGCTGGTAACCATTTCGAAATGAATGCTGAAGCATCTTTCAATTCCTAGAATTTAATCAACAACAATTAACCAGAAAGAAAGAAAGAAAGAAAAGAAAGACCAAAAAGGTAACATAATGATGGTGAGATATGAATAGGAAAAGATAATCAATAAGATGATGATTATTATTATTACCTCGTTGGAAGATGAATGAGCCAACCCTTGGTAGACTTTAAAATGATAGTTCGTTAGAAGTGGCCTCAGAATCTCAGCGGTTTTATTGCCCCAAATTCTTGGGACAACCAGGTCAATATCTCCATGACATTGTAATATGGGTACATCTTTATTGGCCTTAATAAGAGCTGAAGGATATTCCTTGTGTAAAGGTAGCCAGCAGCTTAGAGCGATAACTCCGGCTAACGGTTTAGAATAGCGTAAAGCTGTGTGAAGGGAAAGTGCACCTCCCTGTGAAAATCCGCCGAGAATTATTCTGTTACTTGGAATTTCATGAGTTTTCTCCTCTTCTTCGATTAATTTAACAACCAGAGAATTTGCCTTTTTAATACCTTCAATATCTTCCGGACCATCAGCGCTTAAAGCCAACAGATCAAACCAAGAGGTCATCTTCATACCGCCATTGAGGGTTATCGGTATGGAAGGGGCAGTTGGACATATTAATTTACAGTATGGGGAGAACCGTTCCAATGGTATCGGCCCAACTCTGACCAGTATCACCTAATCCATGGAGAAAGATAATCTAAATACACAGGAGAGAGAGAGAGAAAGAGAGAGAGAGAGAGAGAGAAAGAGAGAGAGAGAGAGATATGATCATCATACAGAGAATCTAAAGTGGTTCAATTGATTTGGAAGAAGAAAAAAAATGGTGAAAATGATGGACAGAGAAATAATTTGAATCGACTTACCGTTGCAGTGTGTTTACCATTTTTCGCATTTACAATAGCGAAATTATTTGGACCATCGCTTGAGGCCATTTGTAAACAACAACAGTGGAAAATATTGAATAGAGAAAAAAAAGAGAGAGAAAATAACAAGAGAAAAATAAATGGAAGATGAAATTATTATGATCCAAATACAGAAAAGATGAAGATGAGGATGAAGATGTTTAAAAGAAACCACAGTTACTGTACCATGCGTATCATGGAGAGAGAGAGAGAGATAATTATGGTAATGAGCTAATGCATGGAAAAGGTTAACTGGTCACTTATTGATTTCGAATAGAACAGAAAAAAAGATCAATGGATTATGTTCGAGATGATTATCTTTATGTGGACAGAACAGCAATTTAATCAACACATTGGAATAACAATTTACTATTGGAGAGAAAAGGTTACAATCGATAATCCTAAATGAACAATTGAGACAACAAATGATTCCAATGGAAATCGTAAATTAAACGATATGATACAAGAATCATTAGTTGATTATTTAGATTGTCTCAATTAAATTGTTCCTTTTCTTCAACTGTTTCCCCGTACGAATAATTAATTGTTTGATTAATTGTTCGCATCGGATCATTAATTTTCGGCCTTTAAACACGATAAAAGCTCATTAATCAATTCTCTGGAATGGAAATGATAATTAATAACAATTTTCTCCAATAAAAATCCTATTGATTGATTATCGATTCTAATTAATGAGTAAACATTGTGTTTAATTGTCTCTGAATTGTGTTCACAATTAACTAATATAATTGTTGTTACCAAGTAGAAATGTCTGATTATCTCTTAATATTAATTTGATTAATTAATTAGTGGAAATCCTTTTAAATTGTTAATAATAATTTGTATCTTTTTTGGATTAATCATTTGAAAAGTTTTGTTTTTGTTTGATTTAGTTTAATAGTTTAAACAATTTAATCCGATAGGATTTGTGATTAAGTGAGAAAATTGGATTATCATTAATCTACATCTTCTATTATTAGTTTAATGAAGGAAAATACAATTTAATTAGAGGATGAATTAATTATGCTTCGTTAGATTGTCTCTCTAATCATGCAAATTAAATTAACACGAAGTAATTTAATTTGCAGAAATTAATCATAACAAGATGAACGATAATGATGAAGGTAAAAATTGTGAACCATGAAAAAAGAAACGGGTTAACATGAGAGATTCAAATGAGATCAAATTAAAGTATGTTAATTGTTTCAGAGTTTAATCAACAATCAACAATAATAATGAAGATAAAATGATGATTAGTAAATTTAAACATCGAAAATAAAAAGCAAATCTTCATGGAGAGAGAAAGAGAAATCATTGACTTGGTTGGATTAGAATCTCATTCCAATTTAATTGTCATTATTTACCATCAATCGACTCTCTCTCTCTCTCTCTCACTCACTCACTCACTCGCTCTCTCATGAATTAACTGTCATCATAATCAGAGAAATTGAAACAATTGAAACTTGGGAGTTCAACAGAACGGGTTAGTAAAGTGATTCGATTTTCGCATTGGAAGACAATTTTGTCACAATTAGTCTCTCTCTCTCTCTCTTTATAAATGAGAGCCTTTGAAAGAGAGAGAAGGAGGAAAGAGAAGAGAAAAAAAGAAAGAAAAGAAAGAGAAACTCATCATCATTCTAATAAAGAACCATTTTGATAATCATGCTCATAGTCTTTCATATTCTTTACACCAACACAACAGTAAATCTTATTGAACAACAACAGAACATTTCTCACTCACTCTCTCCATTTCTCTCTTCCTCTATTCTCACTCTTTCTCTTCAGTTTATCTTCTTCTTCTTCTTCCTTTACATTATCTTAATATTTTCTTTTTCTTTTTTATTATTTAGTCATTTTTTGTTATTTTCTCTTTTTTTCATAAAATGTTTTCTATCAACAATTAACTCTCTCTCTCTCTCTTATTGTCTCTTAATCTCAACACCAAGAAGCATGTCCACAGCCAAGGAAAGGTTAACTGCTATTTCGGGTCATGTTAACAGTAAAAGTGAATTTAATTGTGATTCCAATGGATTCTCAGGTAAACCGATAATCTCACCTAGTGAATTAACAACGGACATGATTGAATCTTCTCAATTATCACCATCAATTGCCATTAGTGATTCTATCCAATGTGAAAATAAATCAAATCAATTAGCAAAAGATAACAAGGAAATCGGTTCAATACCCTACAAGAGGTAATCAATTTTTCCTCGCCTCTAATTGTATCTCTGTCTGTTTGTCTCTTTCTCTCCTTTAATTGTAACAATTAATGTTTTTCCTCCATCATGTTAACCTCTTTTCTTGTTAATTTCTCCATTTTTTTAATTATTTCTGTTCAATGGATTAATTGAAAGGGGATAATCTTATTAGTCAAATTATTCTTTTTGTCAAATATTCTCTTCTGCTCTTTTGTTTTCATTTTGTTCTCTTATCGTTCTCTTTTCTATTCTTATTTCTCTTTCGCCATTTTTATTTTTTCATTTATTCTTTTTTGTTTTTTTTTCTCTTTTCTCTTTGTTCTTTGTTCTTATTTTGGTTTGTTTTTTATTCCTACAGACAAGATTTACTTAAGTGGAATGGTTGGGGTTACAAAGATTCTGGTTTCTCAGTTGATCCTGATTGTTATGATATAACCTTTACTGGAGATCGGTACAAGATTGGCAACCGGAAGCTCCCATTGTTCAAGAAATGGGTTGAGTTAACACTATCAGTTGATCTCAGCAATAAATTGACAAGTCAGGTTTGTTTATTTTTCTTTTATTCCTCTCATTTATCCTCTTGCGAGGTTAACGAGAGAGAGAAAAAAAAATTACAGTTTAAACAATTATACGTTTAACCTCATCGTTTATACAGTATCAATATTAGAATAGCTTTTGGTAGTAAGATGAGATGTCGTTAATCCTGTTCTTGTATTGACTTTTGGCCTCATAGTTGTTTCATCAGAGTTTCCTGTCAATCATCATTAAGAATTAATTTTCTAATCTCAATTTTTGGTCTTTTCTTCTTTTTACAGTGTCAACCTGATCTTGAAAAGATACCTAAACCGATAATTAACTCAAAATTTGTCAAAGAAATTGAATCGATTAACATAAAAACATCAACAGATTCTGAGGATCGTTTATTTCGTTCTCATGGTCATTGTCTCCATGAGATATTTACCCTTCGTGCAAAGGGTACACTTGAACGTATTCCTGATTTAATTGTATGGCCTCGTAATCATGATGATGTAGTTAAACTGGTTCGTATTGCTGATAAGAATAATGTTGTTATCATACCTTTCGGTGGAGGGACCAGTGTCTCGGGTGCCTTGGAATGTCCAGTTAATGAGAATCGTATGATTGTTTCAATGGATACTTCAAGAATGAATAAAATCCTCTGGATTGACCATGTTAATCTAACTGCTCATGCTGAGGCGGGTATTATTGGTCAAGATTTGGAGACACAATTGGCCAAATATAATCTTTGTACCGGCCATGAGCCTGATTCATTTGAATTTAGTTCTCTTGGTGGTTGGGTTGCTACCCGAGCTTCTGGGATGAAGAAAAATATCTATGGTAATATTGAAGATTTACTTATTCACGTTAGAATGGTTTCATCTATTGGAACAATTGAGAAAAATTGTAATGTTCCAAGAATCTCTTCGGGACCTGATATTCACCATATTATCCTCGGTTCTGAGGGTACATTAGGTGTAATTACCGAGGTTACACTAAAAGTCAGGCCACTTCCCGGATGTAAAAGGTACAATTCAATTGTATTTCCATGTTTTGAAGATGGTTACCGGTTTATGAGAGAATTGGCTCGACAACGATTAAAACCTGCTTCCGTTCGTTTAATGGATAATCAACAATTTATCTTTGGTAAGAATTAATCCAAATCCTATTGATCCCTTTAATCTCCTTAGATTATCTCACATTTTCTCTTAATCCTTTCGTTCTAAACTTTTCTATCATATCTAACTCTAATCACCATCTCTGATAAGTTTTTTTCAAAGAAAACTACTACCACTGATTAATCCAAAAACTGAATAGTAAATTAACTTGATTTGATTTACGATTCAAGTAATTTAATGAGCATGGAAAAAACAATTAATCTTTTCTCTATCATTAATATTTAAATTAATACAATCTCTCTCTCTCTCTCTCTCTCTCTCTCTCTCTCTCTTTTTAGGTCAAGCATTAAAACCAGAGGCTAGTTCATTATGGACTTCGATGAAAGATTTTTTCAAGCGATTGTACATAACCAAACTGAAGGGCTTCCGAGTTGACGAAATGTGTGTAGCCACTATACTAATGGAAGGAACCCTAGAGGTTTGATAATATAATTGTTATTTATCAATCAAATTGTTCAGAGAAAATTAATTTACCTAATTGTTGAAAAATAATTCTCTTAATTATTATCGTAGGAAGTTGAGACCCTGGAAAAAAAGTTATTGGAAATATCATCGGAAAATAATGGCTTAGCTGCTGGTGAAGAAAATGGTAAAACTGGTTACATGTTAACCTTCGTGATTGCATATATAAGGGTTGGTAAATATTTTCTAATTTAACAATTTTCCATCCAACAATTAGTAAATTGTTGTTTCCGTTTTCTCAGCTCATTGCTTTTTCTTTATATAAATGTAATATATTTACAGATTATTCCAATATCTTTCATTCATTTGATAAAATGACTATTAATTTTTATTTTTCTTTCATTTATTTTCAATTTTCTCCCTCCTTTGATCAATATTAACGATCAACGATTTAATTGTACCATAAATAGGATATTGGACTTGATTATGGTGTTTTAGCGGAATCATTTGAAACATCGGTACCATGGGATAGATGTCTCGATGTTTGTACCAATGTTAAAGATTGTATCGCTCGAGAAGTTAAAAAATATGGTATCAAAAAACCCGCTCTGATAACTTGCCGGATAACTCAAACATATGATACCGGAGCTTGTGTTTACTTTTATTTTGCCTTTAATTACCTTGAAGGTGTTACAGGTGATCCTGTTGAAATTTATCATGCAATTGAAAATTCAGCTAGAGATGAGATAATTGCCTGCGGGGGAAGTATCTCCCATCATCATGGTGTTGGAAAGGTTAGAAAAAAATGGCTCCGTGAAACTGTTTCAGATACTGGATTAGGTGTGATGAAGGCGATCAAAAATTACATGGATCCACATAATGTTTTCGCCAATGGTAATTTGATGAGCTGATTAATATTCCTGATGATTAACACAAGGGAAAAACAAAAAAAAAATTTAACAAGAGAAACAACAATCAAATTAACCAGAATAATAATCCAACCGTTTGAATATACAAAATTTAACTATTTAACCTTATCCTAGGACGATAATTGAATTTAAATCATGTATGTATATTATCCGAAACTGCTAATGGATATATTTTATCATCATCGACACAAACAAAAAGCTTTTGTACCCAATGCCAAATCAAACAGAGACAACACAATTTACATTAATTGTTTAACTAATTTACAATTGTTTGTAAATTTAAATTTTGTTTGTCTCGTTGCTTTTTTTAAAAGTTCATCATTTTAAACAATCAACAAAATCTAAAAAGTTGATCAAGTGTGATATAAGAAAAAAGAGGAAGAAAAAGTGAAGACAAATCGAAGCAATAAGATTTAAGTGTAACAATTAGTAAAAAATCGTAATTACGACGAGAAAAAGAGAGACGAATGAAGATAATCACAGAAAAGAAACAAAAGAAAACATAATGAATTAAATATTAATTTTATAAATTTCATTCTTTGATTGTATATATATATAAATATAGTTTAAATTAGTATATTTATATTGATCATAATTTAACGATAACCTTAACAAAAAACATAATTAAGACACATTGATTGCTATATATCTCGATATTCATTTTCAAAGGTTAATAAATTTATCTAATCTTGGCCGTCCAATTAGTAGTTGATTGTTACTGATTGGACCAAGGCAGACAACATTTTCCCCATCGAAAGTACAAGCCTCACGATATGATTGAGTAATATTCCTATTAAAATCATCTTCATCATCTTCATCATCATCTTCAGTATCAGTATCTTCTTGGTAGTCGTCATCATTTCCATTATCTTTATCACATTTGTTTCGTCTAATATTATGTTGATTGGCCTTAAAATTTTTCGATGAAAATTTAGAAGATGATTTAATGGTTGATTTTAATGAATGAGATGGAGATTGCATTTTAAATGATGGCGATGGTGATGATGATAAGGATGATTTAGATGTTGATGGTCGAGATGGTATTGGTGGTGGTGGAAGAAAATCAAAATTTTGTGGATCATCTTCATCAACCTCTTTTTTAATCCAATCGGTTGAGAATTTAGATTCACCACTGGCACTTGGTGATGTGTCTTCTTTCAACTTATCGTCATTATCCTCACTAGTTGTGTCATCATCACTATTTTCATCCTCATCTTGATCTGGGTGAGGATTAACATCACAATCAGTATGAAGGAGATCATATACCAAACCAGATCGAGTATCAACTAATTCCATTTTACCTGATTGGTACATTCGTATTTTACCAACGTGTCCCTCGCTGCTATTTAATAGCATCTCGGGTAATTGGAAGAGAACCATTTTATCTTGATCGTTTTTGGTTGCAGTCCATTTATCAAATCGTCTTAATGAACATTTAATATCTTTTTTATCTTCCTGTTTGAACGCCTGATGTTGACTAACATGTTCCCAACCAATAGGTGTCATATCTTGTTCGTTTGGATCATAAAGTGGAACAAAATCATCCCGATAAAGAACACGTTGAATTTTTTCAACATCTTCTTCGACTATTCCATCATCACCACCATCTTTTTCTTTGTGATAATCATCACCTTTTAGATTATTATCACCATATGATGATTCACTATTCTCCAATTTAACAAAACAACCATTAAGAGAAACGGAACCACCGCCACCACCACAACCACTGGTCCCGGAAGAACCAATTCCTTTTAGACTATCTGATTGACTAGATCGAAGTGTTCGAGTATCACTGGTTTGACCATAACCACTTCCTCCTGGACTGATGAAACCTTTTTCTGGTTTAATGGAGTTTGATCTGTGAAAGATTAAAATTAAACCGAGAAACAAAACAATAAGATGAAAATCAAATTCATGGGAAAATTCAAGAGAAAAAGAGAGAAAGAGAGAGAAAGTGAGAGAAAATAATGAGTTAGAAAGACAAAATTTCCAATGACTCAATTAGTTAATTGTTGACTATATTAGGTCAATACTCACGTTATATTTATACCATTAAAAGTTGCATCCAATTGAATTAAATCTTTTTTCCCTTTTGATTTTCTAGTCTTTTCTTTACTTTTTACTTTACCATTGCAACTGTTATTCTGATCTCGTCCTTCCCTGTTACCATTTCCACCTCCAGTCCCACCGCTACCTGGAGTTACTCCTGATCCTCCACCTGATCGACGAGTTGTTGGGATAGTCGGTTTAAAGACTCTCTTAGCAGCACCTCCTTTGGTGAATGCATTTAAACCAATGATTGAATTTATGGCCGAAGTTAATTCAGTTTTACTCGTTGTTGTTGTTGCTGTTGCTGTTGTTGTTTTGGTTGTTGTTGCTTGTGATCCAAATGATCTGTTAAAATGATGGTTACCAGTATTTCCATTAACTTGAACACCCGAAATTCCTGTTAATCGTTCTTTGGCTGTGGACATGCTGTTTCAAAGGTAAAAAATAATGAGAACAATGTAAACAAAAAAAAATTAACAACAACACAACAACAAAATTAAAATTTCTCTTTGCTATTCTATATAATACAAATCATAGATCATAGAATCAATGATGACGACGACTATGAGTATGATGAGTATGGAAAAAGAAAAAGAAAGAAAAGTAAAGAAAAGAAAACGCTAACAAATTATAAAAAGAATATCAAATTTGAGATGATGAAGGGAAGACGGAAAAAGATCAAGTGAAGAAAAAAAGAAAACAGATCAACATGGAGAAAGAAAATTTTCTTTCTCTTCTCACCAGATGGCGATCATTTCGAACATGCGATTTAATTGTTACGATTCGCGATTTTTATCGATCCTGATAAACTTTAATTTAATTAACTTTACCTGTGAATTTAAAATTTAATTTCATGTTATTATTTTTTTTCTGATACCAAAATTATGATAGTTGAACAGTTATTTTAGTTGTTTTTGTTACTCTTAAAACTGAGCCATTATTGCGTCGTAATAATTTCAACCAATTTTGTTTTCTTGATAAGTTTTCACATTTTAAAAGTTTGAAATTCTAATTTCATTTTTTGTTCGTGTCATACCTAATGAGCTAACCCTTTTGGACCAGTCGCCCTATTTTGGGATCAGTCTTGAAAAGACTCTTGTCTATGGTGAACATATTGGTGGAGAACAGCCATTTATGGGATTTTCGCGAACAAGACTTTTGTCCATTTAGTTTTAAATTATTCGTTAATTGATTTCTCTTAAGTAATTTCGACCTCAGGGGAGAAAATTTGTTATTTTTATTATTATTATTTTCCATTTTATTATTATTTTTCCCTTCCTTGTCCCTGCTTTCCCTATCCCTTGGTACGGTATTCATAATCGGAGACGATGAATTGAAATTCATCGGAGCCTCTCCTGAGGTCGGAGTTAAAGCTTAAAATAAAATGCGATTAATTGTTAACAATTAGTTTCCATTTGCAAATTTCACTCTGGTTGAATTCATTTTCTTTTTTTTTCATTGTACTTTTATTTAAAGAATTGGTGTAAAAAAACAGAAAGTATAAAATTAATGATAATTAATATTAGAGAAAAAAGTTATAAACTTTGATTGAGAATTTTTCATTAACATGATAACAATTGATAATAATTTACGTATTCAAATTATCGGGATGATCACAGGTAAGTTTTATCATTTTGGTTATTGAATACGATTCAAGTTTGGGTGTTTGTTTTGTTTTCGTTTTGTTTTCCTTGTTGATTTGATTGTACAATTTGCGAGTTTGTTGGCACTTTGCTGGTGTTTTTTTAAACAAACGGAAAAACTATGGAAAAAATTGACTAATTAACAATATAAATTCTATAGAAAAATTGATTGAAAAAAAATAATAACAATTTGCACAATTGATTATGTATAAAAGATGGAATAGTCATTAAGGAAACAACGAGAAGAAGAAGAAATTAATTATATTATGTTATACACTTGAGAAAATGATACTTCAATTTTTTCCGTTGAAATTTCATTGTCTTTGTTTTCCTTTGTTACTTATGGCACATGAGATCGAAACTATTATCAACAATTTACACACACTATTGGTCCATTTTCTTAGTGATTAATATTCATTTCTTTCCACTTTGTTTCGATTAGATTGTTTTTCTGTCTTTCTTTTCAAAATGGTGACGAGTTTAAGTTCGATATCGCCAAGATATGGCCTAGCACTTGGATCTTTAGCCCAACAAGCTTCCATTATTGCCCAGCATTCAGAGTCAAATTCAGGTATCCGTTCAGGTCGTAAACCTAAGGGAAAAGGAAAGAGTAAAAATGGAAAAAAAAAGTTAAACCAATAGTGAAAATGTTAATTTGTGTTCTCTTGATTAAGATCAAATGATTAATCTCATCGGGTGTTTACCTTTTCTCACACAGGTCCATAGTTGATCTTTATTTTGACATTGTTCAAAAATGAATGGTAATCGTACGTGTCCAGCACAAATGTACCAAAATAATATACCAAAAGCATAAACATCAACAGAATTATCGTATTTACCGGTGAATAGTTCGGGTGCCATATGAATCGGTGTACCCACAATTGATCCTGACATCATTGCTTCCGGTTTACAGAATCCAAGATCAGTAATTTTGGCTCGATTACGTTTATCGAGTAAAACATTTTTCAATTTAATATCACGATGAACTAAACCTTGACTATGAAGAAAACGTATTCCTTGAACAACATCAATAGCGACCTGAAGTCGACTCAACCAATCTAAACCATTCTTAATGGCTGAATATAAATCTCTTGAAAGTCTATCCATAATGAGTAATACTGCAGGATTAGAACCATTCCCGTAAGAATAGTCGATAACGGAACCACGAATTTGTACAATACGATTATGTTTTGGAATTGATCGAGTATAATAAAATTCCATAGCTAAATCATTCCAGTGTTTCTCATCTGGAGGTACAACTGATTTAACCGCAACAGGAGCATAACCAGCCCAAGAATTACAAGAGTAAACAACACCATATTGACCTCGGCCGATTTCCCTTCCCAGTTCGGGCATCCCATGTAGGATAACATCTCGTAAACTTGTCGCTTCAAGGGCACAACGGGCAATTCTTGGTGCATAATATTTACGAACACGATCTCGAAGTTCTTCAATCTTTTCCAATCTACCATAATGTAAATTTTCCAATTGTTTCATTGCTGTGGCAAATTGTGTATGTGATTTTCTCAATCTTTCCTTAAATTGAGCACAAATTGACTTTGCAAGTCGAGATTCCGACAATGAGCTTAAAACGTCAATGGCTACCTTACGTTTCCATTCATCGTTAATCACAGTCTGATTTCTCCAAGATAACGAAATGGAAACTAATTGTTTCATTTTATCCCAGAAGGCACGTAATAGACTAGATGATGTTCGCATGTTTATCTCTACTTGATAAGCTGCATTCAATATTTGCTTGAGTGCATTGGAGGCTTGAATACATTCATTTCTAGATAGGGATAAGGGAAAAGCAGATGATGTTAATGAAGAGGGCGATGACTGTGATTGGCCTCGAGATTGGGATATTGATGAAACTGATGATGATATTGTTGTTATTGTTGCTGTTGTTGTTGTTGCAAGTGATCCTTGTAACGGTAGTGGAGGAGGTGGAGGTGGAGGTGGACTGAGTATATCACAGTGTGGTGACCAATTCTCTAGGCTTCCTAAGCATCTTTCCAATGTTCCAATGTAACTGCTTCTTAGATAATCAACTGAACCAATTAATTTATCGGCGATTGCAGCGTTTAATTTATTTAACACAACATCTTGAATTTCAATCATGACAAGTTGAATCTCTCTTGAAGTTAAATTGGTTGTTGTTGTTGTTGTTGATTCATTTGAAGAAAGACTCAAATTAAGGGTTGAATTTGTTTCATTGAAATTTTTCTCCGCTGATTCAACTAGATTGTTGGTTTCGGTTACACTAGATTCTTGATTAAGAATATCTTCTTTCATTGAAGTAATTGTAGAGGTGATGAGATTTTTAATCTCTTCTTGTTTCTTATTGGCGATCACCATTAAAGCTTCAAACAATTGTTGCTCTTTTTGCTTGGCATAAGCTATTCTTTTAGGAGTAATCATCATGTATCGGGTCATATCGAAGGCCGTTAATACGAACATTTTTAAACATTGATTGTGAACATCATTCAGATAATTTACGGCTTCGTCGATTGAACCATCTTCACCCATGGGACATTCTTCCTGTTTGAACGTCTGAGGTTGACCAACGAATTCCCAGCCCGTAGATGTCATATCTTGTTCGTTTGGATCATAAAGTGGAACAAAATCATCCCGATAAAGAACACGTTGAATTTTTTCAACATCTTCTTCGACTATTCCATCATCACCACCATCTTTTTCTTTGTGATAATCATCACCTTTTAGATTATTATCACCATATGATGATTCACTATTCTCCAATTTAACAAAACAACCATTAAGAGAAACGGAACCACCGCCACCACCACAACCACTGGTCCCGGAAGAACCAATTCCTTTTAGACTATCTGATTGACTAGATCGAAGTGTTCGAGTATCACTGGTTTGACCATAACCACTTCCTCCTGGACTAATGAAACCTTTTTCTGGTTTAATGGAGTTTGATCTGTGAGAGATTAAGATTAAACCGAGAAACAAAACAAAACAAAAAATTAAGATGAAAATCAAATTCATGGGAAAATTTTTAAATTAAAGAGAAAGAGAGAGAAAAAGAGAGAAAGTGAGAGAAAGAGAGAGAAAATAATGAGTTAGAAAGACAAAATTTCCAATGACTCAATTAGTTAATTGTTGACTATATTAGGTCAATACTCACGTTATATTTATACCATTAAAAGTTGCATCCAATTGAATTAAATCTTTTTTCCCTTTTGATTTTCTAGTCTTTTCTTTACTTTTTACTTTACCATTGCAACTGTTATTCTGATCTCGTCCTTCCCTGTTACCATTTCCACCTCCAGTCCCACCGCTACCTGGAGTTACTCCTGATCCTCCACCTGATCGACGAGTTGTTGGGATAGTCGGTTTAAAGACTCTCTTAGCAGCACCTCCTTTGGTGAATGCATTTAAACCAATGATTGAATTTATGGCCGAAGTTAATTCAGTTTTACTCGTTGTTGTTGTTGCTGTTGTTGTTTTGTTGTTGTTGTTGCTGTTGCTTGTGATCCAAATGATCTGTTAAAATGATGGTTACCAGTATTTCCATTAACTTGAACACCCGAAATTCCTGTTAATCGTTCTTTGGCTGTGGACATGCTGTTTCAAAGGTAAAAAATAATGAGAACAATGTAAACAAAAAAATTAACAACAACACAACAACAAAATTAAAATTATTTCTCTTTCGCATCTAAATAACACAAATCATAGATCATAAAATCAAACAAATCAATGATGACGACAACAATGACTATGGAAAAAGAAACAAAAAAAACACAAACAAAGTAAAAAAGAAAATAAAATTCAATCAACTAACTAAGATCATCAGTTGATTCACTTGAATCATTCAACTTAATGATTATCTGATTATCGCCAATTAAGTAACTAACTTCTTCCAGATGGAGCCACAAACAAGTTCGTTAATCTTTAAATCGAGAATCAGCTGATCCTATTTATCGCATTTATCTCACAGCGATCATCTGTCAACCAGAATATCGAATGCGATTATTAGATTTTCCAATAATCGATTAATCGACACAATATTTTTCTCTCAAAATCGATGATGAATGAAACTTTGCTGAAAGAGAAAAAGACACAGGAAAAGTAAGAGAAAGAGAAAAGTGGGAAACATTTTGTTGGAAGGGAAAATTACGATATAACAAGAAAGAGAAAAAGAAAGAGACCAATAAATCGATTTTCGGTTTTCGTTCATCGAATCGGATAATCGATTATTCCGATGATCGAAAGCTTAACTAATCCTTGTAGTTTGTCAATTCTAAACCTCGACCTTAATTGTTTGTTTGTTTTCTTCTTCTTCTTTTAATTAAAATCGTTTAATTTAAATGAAATTAATCTTCCATCATGGAGAGAATACCTGAAACAAGTCAAGATCATCATGGAACAAATGTTAATGGTAATTGTTCATTAGAAGAAAAATATTCTTCAAGTTTGTTTACTATTTTTTTTTCTTGTTCTTTCGGTTTTACTAATTGTTTTTCTTTTTCGTTTTTTATTTCTATTGATTTGATTTCTATATTCAGGTTCCGGTGAATCTGAACATTACAAGTTATGTTTAACTGCTTTACAAAGAGCTTCAAATGATACCGAAAAGCTAATTAGTCTATTGGTAATCGCTAAATATTTAAAACCTGGAAAGCTTTCAGAATCTGAGCTTCTTTGCCTATTTAATCATATAGGAAATGAATTTCTATCAAGATTACTAATAGTTCCAGAGATTGAACCCAATTTGGAAGATATTTCATCAGGATCTATGCATTCGATTGGTGTTAACATAATCCATGTAATATTAAAAGTTAAACCAGATCATCTTCCCCATTATGTTATGGTTAAACTGTTCACTCAAATATCGGAAATTCTTACATCATTACGACCGGAAAGTGATGAGAATAAATTACTTCTAGATGATATTCTTTCTTGTTACCAGTGTTTACTTGAAATTTATCCTGATCGACAACGTTTATCAATCATTCTTCACTCATCTAATTCCATACGTTCATTGGTCTCAATTCTTACCAATCCAAATTTTGGAAATGTTGAAATTTATCTGTTATTATGTAAAGCATTCAGTGAATCAGATATCTCATCTAAAGATCCTGAATCTTTCCATAAGTTCATGTTTTTTGCTGCTTTAACCTTTAAAACTGTTCAAAGTCAACAAAAGTTTGACATTTGTAGTCAATTGGTAAATTTAATCCAAAAAAATGAACAAACGTTAATCACTCAATCTCAATCATGTTCACCATCAACATCAACATCATCATCATCATCATCATCAATGTTTCAACCACCAACAAGCACCATTGGAGCAAATAATTGGTTACCCTTAATAACTGAAGGATTATTTGATATACTATCTAGTCGTCTTGATAAACAAAGACGAGATCCAGCGTTTTATTTAATTGTCGCACTTAACAAAGTGTTTCCGCTTTTCGTTTGGATGACCTGTGGGGTAGAAAAATTTGAGGAAACTCGTTGTAGAAATTTTCTCCCTCTCGTCTTACGATTGGTTTGCATTGAAATTTGTCTCGAATTAAGGAAAGAAGATGAATCAATTGATGAGCATCTATTAAATGCTTGTTTCATACTCGTTGAAAGTTTAATCAATACAATTTGCGCTGAACCGGGTTCACTTGAGATTACACTTAAACTGACACCAAATGATATTGTTAATTTGTACAATTCCCTTCGTGAGACAATTTTAACAGTTATCGAGTTTGTTAAGAATGTTATTAATGATTGGGAAGAGTTAAGTTCTAATCAAACAACATTCTCAATAATTATGGGCTGTATTCGAATAATTTGCTTCTGGACATTGGAAGATTTAAGTGGAATCGATGATAAAATGATTGATTTAATTCCGTTTATGGTTACACTTTTACACGATCAGAAAAGTTTTAACATCGTTGGACATTTTATTCTAACCTCTTTCTATGAAATTTGTGTTAATTGTGACGATTCTGATCCACTGAAACGATCAATATTAAGCTACGATATTCAAGCAAATGTAACTCGATTTCAAACAATGTCACCTTTCAATGATCAAATGGATAAAATTTGTGAAGCTTTTCGTAATCTCAAGTGAAACAATTAACCGAGAGGCGGGAAAAAGCAAATTACACATTAATTAATCATAATTGTGATCATTATATTGGACTTATACAAACTCCTGATGGTCGAAACTTAATCATCTTTAAATTTTTTATACTCCCTGGTAAATGATAATCATTATCACTTTAACAATTAATGGTTTTACAATTCAATCTTCCAATCAAACCTGAACACACAACAAGTTAACTCACTATTTAAATTGATTTGAAATGATTTCTAATTTCAAATCATCTAATCAACTTTCCAACCTTCCATTTTACTCATTAAAAGTACTCACGAGTAATCAATTTATTTTTAAACAGATTTAATCATCAAGATTTGTATAAATACTATTTCGAGGAGAAGATGATGAAAAGGGAAAAAACGAATTTAATTGTGAATTAAATTGTTACAAGTAAAAAGATATTCAATGAGAGATTATGATGAATATGATGATGGAAAGATTATTCTAATGGTTGATTAAATCATCTCAATCAAACGTACATCGTCCATATCTGTTTGATACAAGCGACATCGGGATCATAAGTCATCGCCATGGTTTGAACTCGATAGCCCAACAATTGGAACCAATCGAGGACACAAATGTTTGGATATTCAAATTTATAATTGTAACAATTAAAATTGGTGAATTTAAGTGGCTCCTCTATTATCCTTAGAGCTCTCAATTTCTGTATGATATTTGCATCTCGAGTAGTTACATAAGTTGGACCATCGGTTCGACTCTCATAGCTTGACACAAGTAGATACATTCTTCCAGCTCCAATGAGGCTTCCACCGCCGCCGCCACCACCACCTCCTCCTCCGCCACTTGAACCTGTAACACCGCCTAGAACACCAAGATTACCTGGTCCACCAACGATTCCAATTCGTTTGATTTGATTGTTTATTGGGGCAGAAACGCTTGAAATTAATTGAGGACGTATTAATGATGAGGTTGATGGACCAGCTCCTTGATGATGGTGATGATGATGAAGATGATGCTGATATAATCGTGGATGAGCTGATTGTTGATTATGATGGTGTAAATGATGTGAATTGGATAAATGTGAACCTGAGCTTGATTGATGGTTTGATTGTGATTGTATTAATTGCTGGTGATGATGGTGATGGTGATGCTGTTGCTGTTGACCTTGGTGACCCTGTTGTTGACCTGGTTGTTGATTATGATACCTGAGACCTGAAGATGAGGAAGATGCCACTGATGATGAAGATGAGGGTTGCACTGGTAGTTGAGGTTGGAAGGTCCCTAGTCCTCCCGAACCAGTGACAATTGATGAAGATGATGAGGGAATTATATTGGTGGTGGAGGTGGAGGTGGAAGAGGAACCGGAAACTGATTGGCGGGGAATGGTGAAAATGGTTATTTGAGACACTGAAGATGAATTTAAGTTAGACAGTTTGATTGATTTTCAATTGAATTCTCGATAAAAAGGAAACAATCAATATTAATCAACATCTAAATTATGTAAATATGATCCAAGATTTTTTGACACTTTTGATTAATTCACTTTCGTTTTCATTTGTATTCTGAAAATACAATTTATCTTCTTTCTTTCCTATCTTTCCTCCCTGTCTTATCTTCATCTTCCTCTCTCTCTCTCTCTCTCTTCATCCTTCCATCCTCATCCTCTCCCATGTTTCTCTCTCTCTCTCTAATTCATCTGATTCTATCCAATTGAGCATCTCTTACTTTTCTCCTCTTCAAAATCGATCCAAATGTCCACGAACCTTCAGCATCCATTTTCCATGAGTTCTATTAACTGATAGATTTTGTAATCATTTGATAATTTAGGTCAAGAAGGTTGATTGTTAAGGATTCGATTCTAATTCTAGTTTCGATTTCGATTTCGATCAAATAACATTTATGAATTTCGTTTATTTCTTTATCATTTAAATAATATAGTAATTCATATGAGCTCCTTTCGATCAGTTTATCATTTAGATTATCGAGTATTAATTGTTCGTTTGGAGTTGATTGTATTGTAAGGAATGAGAAGGAAAAATTTTCAGAACTTTTATTATTTGTTATCATTAGATTTTCTTTTATTCCTATTTATAAGTAAATTGAAATCTTATATTTAGTATAACGGAGATAGAAATGATAAGAATACACTGATTGGGTGATGATATTGAGTGTTAATTCTCAAGAAAAGAAACATAATCAGTGAGTTTTTCCAATTGTTCTTGATTAGATGAGAAACTATTCTCTTCATCAATGGTAACATTTTTATCGATGGTAAATCCGAAAGGAACATCAGTCTTCCAACCAACCGATTGGCCCAATTTGATCATCTCTTCTTGAGAAGAACAACCAGTAGTTTTAATCACATCTTCCAAACTGATCTTCGTATAACCTTTGCTAATCAACTGAATTAATCTCGATTGATGATCTTTTCTTAATTGTTCCATGATTGGAGACACATGAATTGGCCATGTTTGTCCATCTATTTTACCATAAACACCAGCGAAATCATTGGTCATCAAACATTTACCAACTTCCCAGATTAACTTTAAACAATCAGATTTCTCCTTAATTGTGACCGGTATCCTTTTCCATAAAAATTTGGCATTAATTAAATCATTTTGTGCCAAATAAATAACAAGTAATTTCTCATAATCAGCTGATTCAATTTCTTTCATTTCCAATTCTTTCTGTTCCAATTGTTCCATTTCACTTTCAAGGTTAACAGTAAATGTCATTAAAATATCAACCATGATTGATAATCAACCAATTTAAACACAAGAAGAACAAATTAAAAAGAGTAAACAAATTAAATCACAAACAATTGATCACAATCAAAGATTTACTTTTGTTTTGTTTTGAACAAATTGAGCAAAACAAAAATGAACATCAGTTAACTTATAATAGAAACAAAAGGAGGCGCCACTTGCGACGAAATTTAAATTGCGACTTTTGGTTTCGGCGAATCGGGAAAAATGTTCAAAGTCGTTTTTTGTTTTCGAGAACTGAGTATCGTAGAGAAATTAATTCAATATTTTTCTTTCGAGAATTTTAATAGTCCTTTGTGATTTTATTGTTTTTCACTCGGCTCTCAAGATTGTGAAAATTTGATGTACGATAAATACTCACTTTCTGAAGAGATCGTTAGTAGCTGTTCGACATGACCTTCGCTACTGCAGACCGATGGTATTTTTTGTATACTATCAGGAACTATCGTTTATTTTTCCATCTTGACTTGCGATTTTTGTTTTCTTTCGTTTTTATCTACTCAGTGTGAATTCATGGGGAAATTTTTACATTTTGTGCAGTTAATGGTCGCAACTTCCAATCATAGCTTCCGGTTCAGACTCTTTTCCAATTATAAACTCCAATCGCTTCATGTTCAATTCGTCGCAAATTTGTTCAAGGCAAAAGTGCTTTTAACCAGTCTAGTATTTTTGAGTATGACAGTTCTGTAAAGATTATTGACTGCGCCATTTTCATCCTATCCCCCAAGGCAAGGCTTCCCAATGGTTTTTCTTATAAGCTCGTTGTTTGAACTAGTTCAGAACTTTTTTGGCGACAAATTCGTGATGAGTTATAGCATCATTATTAGCTCTAAGCATCAGTAGACTTTGGTTCTTAAAATGATTGTCTTTTCTGTCCACATTAAGAAGCCAGCACGATGTGGTACGATAGGACTTTGCTGACCATAGATCGAGCGACGTAATTCCGACCCCAGAAACTTCAAATCAATAATTTCAGAGAGAGAGAGAGAGAGTTTTATCATCAACTAATCAATTCCGTTAATCAAAAATCTTGATTATGATTCGATTATTTGAACAAAAAGGTAAATCATTTAAGTTAAATGGCGATCATGATTTCGTGATTAATTCAAATCGATACTAAATCGTGATTCGTGAATCTTTTCACACGGCCTAATGTCCATTTATCAGGCTCATCATCATCATCATTGAGACACTTAAATTAATCATGACAATCAATAAATCATCAAAGTGCATATTTAATTGTTGTCTAATGAAACGGTAAAAAATTATGTATCAAACAATTAGAAACAAAAAAAAAGGTAAATAATGATAATTAAATAAAAATCAATCAACAGTTAAATTAATTCGTACATTTAATCAATTGGTTAACCAAGAGAAATCAAATTCAAATGTAATTTAATTGTATATTCAAGGTAATTAAAACTTTTAATTGTTTATGTTTGTTTGCTGTTCATTGGCCTTAATTGTAATTAATTGTTTTAAATCCTCTGAAAATACAATCTGTTGATTGATAAAAACATAAATGAGATTAACAGATTTTCATTTAATTTAATTAGCTTAATTGTAATTAAGGTTAATCTGTTACAATCATCTTAAAGTTTTGAATGAGATGAAAAAAATATCTTATCCCTTAAACTATAGTTAACTAATTGTAACCGGAAATTAAATATGATCAACTAATCAGTTCGTAATTGTTATGATTATTTATTTGTTTTATTCAATTGAGATTTAATAATCAACAATCATTATTAATTGTGTTCCTGGTCACGAAAATGATTACTCAAATTTCAAGTACAATTAGTAAATCAATGTAAACAAAAATATCATTGTCAATATTTACTTTAATTGTTGTCCAATTTAATGTCAGTTACAATTGAAAGGTAACGTAATTAAAATATCCCCTATGTGAATTAACTGATTAACTCAATTAATCATCTTGATTGTATTCAATAAACAGTAATCAAGCTAATGACATAGGTAAACGTAACAATTAAATCAAATTAACAATTGAAATTGAAATTGTTACTCTAATTTGATTTTAGTCAATCAATCAATCAATCAAATCAACATAAACTTCAATGGGATATTTTAATTGTCAGAGTTAATTAGTTGTAGCTTAACCTTGAATATACAATTAAACATAATTTGATAATTAGAAGCCAAAATTATCAAATTAAATAATAATAAGTTATTGACAATTAAGGTTACAATCAATGAAGTATTCATATTATATTTTTTTGATTAACTATTTGATAAATACACTAATTGTGATGTAATAATCATGTAATTTTTAAATTGAATGCTAATTAAATTAAATTTGAACAATTTAAGTTAATAACAAGTTAATTGTAGGTAAACTTTTCCTATTGTGATTAAATTGATTATCATCATCATCGTTATTGATTGAATTATGATTTTAACCAATAAATATTAGTAAAAAAGGTTTAAAGTTAATTTAAAATTAAATTAACTTAAAAAGTATAAGATGATAATAATTAAGATGATTAAGTGATTTAATAGCTTAACAATCAACTGAACGTGTTCCCAATTAACTTTAAATCAAAGTGATTAAAGTGGATCAAGAAGAGACCAATCTTGTAATCAAATCGTAAGTAATGTTAATATAACAAGAGACCATTTTGTTTGTGATCAGTGATTAAACTAATCATCAAGTTAATCATGTTGATCATCATCATCGGTAAATCATTTCAATTACAATCAATGAATTAACAATCCGGAAACTCAAACTCCTCCACTAGTAAAGGTCATCTCTTTAATCACAATTAAACCTTAATCACTTATTGTAAAAAGTTTTTCAACAATTAGTAAAGTTATCTAATAATAATTATTGATTAATCTCCTGTATTGTCAACAATTAAGCTAATCAAATTAATCTGATTGTTGTCCAACTATCATATGATAACCATTGACTAATATCAATTGTTTTAATTGTGATGATTTATTCAAGTAGTTAAAAAATTTCCTGTGCAATTTAAATTAGTTAATCAGTTCAGATTGATTAAAAGTGACTTGAATATTATTATTTGAAGCTTTAATTGTTATTCAAATTAATTAATTATTTACTATCATGTTGATGTAATTAACTTGGCAAATATTAGTTTAATTTAAATATTAACAATTTAAGTTGCACTTGATTTGGTGATTAATTGATTTGCTTTTAATTTTTGACTCTAATAAATAATCAAAATAAATTAGATTGTCGTTAAAGATTAAAATTGATCATTTGATTAACTTAATTCGGGAATTAAAAAGTTGGAATGAAAAGTTTTTTTTTTCACCATAAAGTTAATTTGATTCAGTTAGAGATTCATCATGTTAATTTTAATAGAAAATAATTAAACCATGTGAATCGACCTACAGGTTGTTCAGGTCAATCAATGTGGATTTAAATTAACTAATATGATTAAATTGGGATTAAATTGTTTCAATTAATCAATTGGTAACCATTGGCTTCCGGGAAATTGTAATCATCACAATAACATTGAACAATCATTTCTTATTGTTATTGTTGTTGTTGTCGTTCATTAAACTGTTACAATTAAACTTGAATCTTGATGATTGTCCTTCAATAAATTGATTGTGATTAAGCAAATTTAAATTATAACACCAATCAATTGTTACAATTGTGATTAGTTCAACTCTACTTTTTCATTTTCCCTTTAATTTTGTAATTTTCAATTTTCAATGATATTTAACATGAGCTATTGTTGATTGTTGATTTGAATAATAAATCACAATTTAATCAGTCTCATCTTCATCAAGTTAATTGTATCGTATTTAAAGTTAATTGTTGTACTTTCCGCATTCCAATTTAATTCTGTGTCAATGTTTATACTTGTTAATTGTTTCAAACGGTTTTCGGTTTATATTTTCAATCAGCTTAATTGTGATTATCAAGAGGATCAGATTATCAAACATTTTCCTTTCATTGTTAACATATTAATACAATGATAATGATTAGTTTTAATTAAGAATTAACTTTTAATTATTTCATCGTCTATTTTAATTGTTCAATTGCCACACACAAATTGTAATACATATTATAAAACATAATACCAACATGATTAGTTAATTGTAAACATGATCATGAACTGGATTGACTTTGTATTCACATTGTGCTATTGTGAATAGTTGATCAAAAAAGTTAATTGTGATCAAATTATCTAATGAAATGTTTAATTTTCTAGGTTATATTATTGTTGTTGTTGTTGATTAAATCGTTACAATCAAATTTAATTACGTTTGAAACAATAATTATGATCAATGATAGTTAATAGTTTTGATTGGTCTTCCTTTTCATTTGATTGTTGTTGTTAATAGATTGACCTTTTTTTGATTGTAATTTAATCAATTTAACGGCAATTATCAAGTTGATCAATTAATTAGTAGTAGAAACATAATATTGATTACAATTAACGTCTCAAAAGTTGATTGTAATAATTAGTATCATTTGCTATTATTATTGGTCAATGGTTAATCCAGTTAGTCAAATAATTAAATTTCTCGATTAATTTTCTCGTCTAATTATGTGGTTTAAGTTGTTTAAATTGCTCCTTAATTTGATTGTCAAGGATTGAATCAAATTAACTATGGGAAACTACAGACAATTAATTTTGCCCTTTAATTTAGTTCACATCGTAATTAGATCAACTTTAATTGTTTCAATACCTGATAATTGATTGTTTAATCAACTGTATATTTAGATACTAGTAACTGTAATTAATGGGAAGGAAACAATTTAATAATTTATGTTTAAATTGTTAACATGGAATCAACTGATTAACCTTTGGTTGATGATGATGATTAAATTTTACAAGGTTAATCATAATCACAATTTAAATTGTGATCATCAAAAGTACTTCAAAATTTTATTGATTTGCGTGATTTTCAACTAATCAATTATTTCCTTGTTAATTATCGTAATTATTTAGATTATTTTAAATTAAAGTTGATTAACATTCAAGAGAGAGAGAGGAAAATTAAGTCTAATCCTCTCAATACAAAATCTGAACACAATTAACTCTTAATCAGTAATTTATTTACATTCAAATTTACACAATTAAGTTAATTTCTTATTAGATTAATTAATATTCATGATTTCATTACGATCAAACAAAAAAGTTAATCCAAACAAATCAAATGATTAAAATCTTAATTGTGAAATTAAATTGAGTGAAAACATGATCAATAATTACAATTTAATTATCTTAATCTTAATTTTTGAATCAATATTATGAATGCTGATGATTAGTTAATTGTTTAACTTCAACGAGATGCTCTTTAATCATTAATTTTACACCTTAACAATTAAAAATATCAAAATTAATTATTAAAGGTGAAGATGGTCAATAAGATTACAATTAGATTAATAAATTAATTGACAAACTAACAATTAGTAACAATTAAAAACACAAACCATTGGGCGAGAAGATTAAAGTTTGATTTAATCAACAGTTAATTGTATTTCCTTACAACAATCAACTACTAATCTTATTGTGATCTCAAGATTTATGATAAATAATCAATTTACAATTTGGATAAGACAATTAAATCCTGTTCTTTACCTAAATCACTAATCCAAAAATTAGCAAACAATAAATCACAATTAGAATATAAATTGTTCACAATTAACCTTGACTGATGATATTGTTTTCATTTTCAACAATAAACAACATATTTGAATAACTTTAATTGGAAACAATTTGTTAATCAAATTACTTACGACAAGGATTATGATTAAAACAATTAACCATAACCTTGACTGATTGATTTACTAATTGTCGATTGAAACAAAAAACAAGACATTTAAAACAATTGATTCCAAATCAATTTAGTATTACTTGATGAATATTGATTTACGATTAACCTTTGATGATAATTAAATCTGATATATAATCAAATGACTTAATCGTTAATTACTATTGTTAATCTGATTGTACAAACATAATCACAATTAAGACAAGAAGAAGATGAATTTAATAATCTAATCACTATTAAGAAGAAGTAAAAAAAAATCAATCAATCAATTAGATCAATAATTGTGTTGTAATAAAAAGGTAAATACAGTTGTAAGAAAAAAAAAGTGAATGGTCAAGTTGACCCTTACTATTGACCAATCAAATTATTAAGATGATCAATACAATAATCATCATATATACAATCAGGATTCTTGATGGTGATGATCATCACCATTATTATTATGATTTAATTAATTACAATTGTGGAGGTGGATGAATAATATTCATGATAATAAATAAATGATAACATAATTGTGTCTCAATCAATGCAAATTGTTATCATCATTATTAATCAATACAACAATTTAAATCAAGTTTGTCTTTAAAAAGTTTACACAATGAGAGTAAATTGAGAGTCACTTAAATACACAAAATGATGATGATGATGATGATGATAAGTGAGATGGAAAGAGAAAGAGAAAGTGAAAGGTGAAGATGATGAGGATGAGGATGGAAAAGTAAAAGTGAAAAAGGTTTGTCCAGTTAATTGGTGAATGGGAGTAGTAGTTTCAACCGAATGCACTGGATTAGATTACCGATTTACTCCTTTCTTCACTTTCTTTTCATCTTCATCCCTCCTCATCTTCATTTTTCTCTTTCTTTTCTCCCAAACTGACCACTGACCACTCTCTTCTCTCTCTCTCTCTCTTCCTCTCTCTTTTGTTGTCTTACTTTCACCGATTTTCGAGCAAAGTTTTTCCAATATAAAAGGAACCACAAACTGACCATTGATCATCAGTCTCATTGATCACATCTTCCAGTTAACTTGATCATATTTTCATCAATTATTCAACAATTAACGTTATCATTAGAGTAACGGGTTATCTCATCAATTAATTGTTCAATTACTTTTCTATTCTTCTCTCTATATCTTGCAACGAACAAGATCAAAAAAGTTTCTTCTTTCGTTAGAACTTTTTTAAGAAGAAAAAACTTTTTCTGTGTTCCCATAACTTTCGACAATTTTTTTCAACCTTTCAACGTTTCCTTTGAAATCTCAAATAAAATTGAGTTATAATCAATAGGATCTCAAATAATTTAGTAATTACAATTATCTTATCATCATCATCATGATTTTCAAGGTAAGTTTATTATATAAGTTTCTAATCACAATTAACTCAATGATTAGTTTTCCAACTCCTCTGATTGACAATTGAGTTTAAAAATAGATTCGTATCACGAAATGATATTAATCATTAATCGTAGTTAATCATATTTGTTATTTTCATCAATCAAATTTAAATATCCACTTACTAAATTTAGTCGTAGGTTAGTTGATGATGATAATAATAACAATCAAATTAAGATACAAAACAATCAGTAATCATAGGTTATCACAATATCAGTTGATTAAACTAATAATTGACCTTTACCATTGAAAGGTGATTGTTAACTTGTCCAATTAATTGTTATACTAATCATTAAATGAGTTGCCTTAATAGTAAATATATTATTTCATTGACAAGACATTTAATTATCTTAATATTTCATATATTTATAAATAAGAAAATAATAATAATGATGATGTTTTTTTGTTTCTTTTTAGTATTTGTTACTTTTATCATCCGTGGCTTTGGTGACCATTGGTCAATACCAAGCTGAACCCGCTTATATGAAGACTGCAAGCTCAGAATACTCTGATCAAGAGGCTGGTTTTGAAGCTGATGACGATTCCTATGGTAAGTTGTATTCATCTTCAGCCAACTTATCCCGAATCTCAACCTCATGGTGGAATAAAAAATTGGCGTCATTATTTGGCCGTATTTCCGTTTCCACCTCAACTGATCCCCTACAGGCTAGCAACATAACGGAAGATTAGACATTTAGATTTTGATGAAATCTTTACCTCTCTTTCTCTCTCTCTTTCTTTATATTGACCACTGGTCAATGGTTTTTCTTATTACTTCCCCTACTGATCCTAATTCAACAATAAATTGTTCATTCAAAGCATAATAATGGACTCACTTTCTCTCTCTTTCTGTTTTTAATTTTTCAGGCGGAGGTAAAAGTGGAGGCTCAAGTAATGGATTAAGCTATGGTACCAAAGGAGGTTCAGGTTGGTTATTGTTGATAAAAATAATTCTGATCAATGATTATCTTATTATTTTATTAATTCTCAACTTTTTCTTGTCCATTTATCTTTCAGGAGGCTCAGGAATGGGAAAGATGAGCATGGGCGCTGGTAAAGCATCTTATGGCTCTGGAATGGGCTCCGGAATGGGCTCAATGGGCTCAATGGGTGGAGGTTATGGCGGTATGAGCTCAGGTATGGGCTCTGGTATGGGATCCATGGGCGGTGGATACGGTGGTAGTATGAACGGTGGTATGACTGGTGGATCCTCGAGTGGATATGGAATGGGATCTGGAATGAGCTCTGGAATGGGTTCAATGGGTGCTGGTTATGGACAACAACAACAACAAACTTCCGGTGGATACGGAGGTGGCATGAATGGAGGAAGTGACGGTTATGGTGCTGGTGAACAACAACATGTAAGTCACGAAAATTATCACCTTCCGATAGACACCTGATGATGTTGATTATCAGTAATCATCAGAAACAGTTAATCCAATGATATGATTAAAAAAACAATAATCTTTTGTTCAGATGAGGAGATGATGAAGATAATGAAGATAATGATGAAAATGATGATTACAATAAGTGCAAGTAAGTGATTGATTAAATAGGCCAATAGTAGTTAGTAATAGTAAAGTATATTCATGATTTAAATTGTTACCAACAACCGAGTCACTGTTTGATAGTTTTCATCAGAATCAGCTTGAGATCAATTTATTGAAATGATTTAACAACAACAAACATTAATTGTTAACACATTAGACTTTTAATCATTTGTAATAATCTTGATCAACAACAATCAGTTAGATTAGATAATCAATAACAATAACAAGCCTCATATATTAATGATCATGATCAACTCATAATTACTTTGATATTTTGATCAATTGTTCAATTAATTTAAATATATACACTCAATTAAGGTAAACTGATTGTAAAGATTAGTAAATGAACCAAATAATCAAAAATAACAACAAGTTAATCAGCCTCAGGGATTTAAATTACACTTCAATTTGATTATTAAGTGTGATGATTAACTATATATACATGATTTAATTCATGTATTTACCTGATTAAAAAACTTATAATGAGAGAGTTAAATATTAGATGAATTTAATTCAGTTTCATTTGGATGAAAATTTTTTTTTTAGTTAATCGTAATTAATGTTGATCATCAGGTAGGGAAAAAAAAGTATTAATTGAGTGGAAATTAAAGTTTAATTTAGTTGATTGATTAAAATGTTGATTAATAAAGTTTTTCGAGACTTTAATTATTATTATTATAGTGAAAATCATATGAGAGTTAATCATTTCCGTCAGATTAATTTACTAATCATGAATCTCTAGTCTAATCTTTCCCTGTGATCGATTGTTGAACAATTTAAAAGATTAAAACAATCAAGATCTAATTGTTTAATTTTCTCATGATTATTAAGTTAAAGTTGATATTATTACAATTAAATGAAGATTGAAAGTTGTAAGATTAATTGGAAACAAATGATCTAAATAATTAGAAGAAGAAATTAACTTGGATAAAAGTGATAATCAAATTAATCACGAAAATAAGTGATTGGGGTCATCAGATTGATGAACATCTATTATATTGGATAATTTGATCTGACGATTTGTTAATTGTTTCGATTTGTTTAGCCTCCTCGTCCTTACCAATTCGATTACAAGATCGATGATGGTTATGGTAATGGTCACTATCAAAATGAAGAAGGTGATGTTTATGGTAATAAGAAAGGTAATTATGGTTACATGGACGCTTATGGTGTTTATCGACACGTTGAATATACCGCTGGCGAAGATGGTTTCAAGGCTGTTGTTAAGACCAACGAACCTGGAACTGATAATAAGGATCCAGCCGATGTTATGATTATGGCTGAGAAACCACCGGCAATGACCAATCCTGGTTCTAAATCTTCAGGAAGTGGTTACGGTTCAGGAGGAGGATCAGGCAGTGGATCAGATTATGGCTCAGGTTCAGGGGGATCTGATTATCAATCACAAGAACAATCAACCGGTGGATCAGGTTATGGTGAGAATTGTTTTCTTTTCCTTGTTTTTAGTTTCTCTCGATAATTTAGATTAGAGGAAAATGTTTAGCTTCTCATTGATTTAGTTGATTGTTGAGTAACAATAATTTTCGATTGTTAATGATTAGACCCTTCAGCAGCGAAACCTTATTTAGGAACTTCTGAATATGGTGGGTAAAAGTTTCTATTTTTTATCTTCATCGTTGAACTTTTTTTTTCAACTCATATGGTGAAAGATTTTCTGATAATTGTGATTATTATTATTCTTCAGGTTCAGGTTCAGGATCTGGCTCTGGATACGGTGGCATGAGCGGAATGGGAGGTATGAAGATGAACGGTATGTCCGGAATGGGTGGTATGCCAATGGGAGGTATGAGCGGTATGTCCATGGGTGGAATGAGCGGAACTAAAGGAGGTTCATCATATGGTTCATCTCCAATGTCCATGTCAATGTCCATGGCTCCTGCTTATTCAGCTTCATCTCCAGTCGCCTCAAGTGGAACCAAAGGCGGTTCAGGATCACGAGGAGGTTCATCAGGATATCGATCACCAATGATGACCATGAAATCACCAATGAGTTCAATGGGAGGCTCAATGTCCGGTGGTTATGGAATGTCCGGCGGTTCCATGGGAATGGGAATGGGCGGAGGTTATTCCAGCGGAGGCTCAGGAGGTCGAATGGTCCCTTCATCACCCGCTAACGCATACAAGTCAATGGGAATGGGAGGTATGAGCGGCGGTATGAACGGTGGAATGGGAATGGGCATGGGTGGTTATCGAATGGGGTAAGAATCGCAAAAGAAAAACAATCGTCAAGAAGATAAAAGTTTCTCAAAATCAAATAATTAATTTTCTTTTCCTTTAGCGGTGGTAAATCATCACCAATGGGTCAATACAAAATGAACGGTGGTTCAATGGGCGGCTCAATGGGCGGTAGTTATGGTTCAATGGGCGGCGGTTCAATGCCCATGCAAATGCAAATGAACGGTATGGGAATGGGTAAAGGTAAATCAATGGGAGGATCAATGGGCGGCTCAATGTCCGGCGGTTATGGCTCCATGGGAATGGGAATGGGCGGTGGTATGCCCATGCAAATGAAAACCGGTGGTGCTGGAAGCATGTATGGTGGTGGCGCTGGACGCCCAATGATGATGTCCTCAGGCGGTGGATATGGAGGTTCCGGAGGTCGAGACATGACCCAACAGAAACAAATGAGTGGCGGCTCATCAGCTGGTGGCTATGGAATGTCCGGCGGATCAGGAATGTCAATGGCCGATCAACAACAAATGACCGGCTATGGGTCATCAGTTGTGACACTTCGAGTCCCAGTCGCTGCTGCATCAACATCATCAGCTTCATCCACCCTCCCCAAATCACCTAAATCATCATCATCTTCATCCAAAGCTCCATCATCAGTCTCACCCTCAGCAAAACCCTCATCAGCAATTAAATCAACAATTAAACCAACCAAACGTTACTAGGCCAACAAATACTCACAACCAACACTCAACTGAATTAAGAAGCCAATTTTTTTTTAATTCAATCTCAATCCTTGGTGCTAATCTAATCAACCTTTAAATCTTGATGGTGATAAATGATACAAATGAACAACAATTAACAACAATCAATCAGTTGATTAACCCTTGATTCCCATCCCTTAGTTTTTTTATTTACCGTTTCCCTTTCAACTTGATTAGTTAATTGTTGACTATCGTTGACCATCATCTCGATTAATATCGTTGATATTGATTAATTTTTTTCAACTATTTTGTTAATCATTTAATTATATTGTTCCAAACAATCAGCAAGGCAAATCAACTACTTAAAAATATTCTGAATCACTCATTTTCTTAAATTATTAATTAACTAAACTCTCTTGTTCCTTAATCAATTTCTTGATTACAATCAAGAAACAAAGCATTGCAAATGAAAAAAAAAGAACCAAAAAAAAAATAATAATAACAACAATCAATAAAACAGTATTGATTATAATCAACAATCAATTCTAAATCAACTGTAATCATAATGGAAACACAATTGTGATCAATTTATACAAATAAAGAAAAAAAATTTACTCTATTTTTCCAACATAAATGAAAATCTATACAATTTTTACTCAACACATTCTACTAATTATAATTGACACAATTTGGAAAAATTAATTCCCAATTAAAAAGTTAATTACAATTAGAGAAAATCGAAAATGGAAAAACGAAAACACTGCCATCTAGTGTTGGTGATTAAAGAATAAAACTCAAAATATAAAAGCAAAGAAAATGAATTATCTTTGTTTCATTTATTAATATCTTCGAGTTGAACTGTTCATTGATAATCTTTCTTGTTTTTATTTCTCTTCCTCTCTCATCTTCTTCTCATCCTTAATTATCTTCCTCCCTCACATATTCCATTTATTAGCTGATTACAATGATTCTTTTCTCATCTTCCATTGATAAGACAAACCTAATCTCTCTCTCTCTCTCTCTCTCTCATTTCTCAGTGATTCTATTGGAATTATTTATTCTTATTCTCTACCTTAACATCATCATCATCATCATTGTCTCTTCTCATCATAATTAAATCTCCTTCACAACAATTAATAACAACCACTCACCTTAAAAGCTAAATTGTTTTTCCTCACTTTTAGTGCTTTGTGATTTTTACACCTTTCCCAATATTATTATTATTTTTCCCTCTCTTTTACCACAATTAATTCAATTTTTAATTAGCAGGTTAATCAATCACCATGTCCAAGCCAATTTTGTCGAAAACCAAATCACTTTTATCGGATAATTCAAATCTAAGTGGTGATCCTAAACTTGACAAAGTGATAATTGATTATCTTTCTTGGGATCAGGTGAGAGATTTTGTTTACCTTTTTTTTTCAATTCTGATTAACGGTTAATTTAAATGTTCACTTTCAAGAAGAATCAAAATCTTAACCATTTCATCATTTAACATTCAATTATTAACAACTCATCAATCTAATTAACTGTCATCTTGATCATCTTGATCATCTTACTACTCAAACAATTAATCACAAAGATAAATTTATTATCTTTGTTTACAATTTCATCCTTACATTTTATACTCTCCCATTGATACAATAGTATCAATCTTATTGATTAAAATCAAAGATTGAGACTTAATCATCATTCATCTATTGATATGATTTCCCTTTAATTGTTTCCCTTTCCTTAATTAATTTAATACATTTCTATCATTTCATTCATCTTAATCATATTGTTTGAAAATTTTAATTTGATTCACTTTCCCAATGGACTTTTTTTTGTATTTACTGATCACTTAATTGGATTAGCTATTTATGTATTATTATTTTAATCAAATTAATTGCTCATCATCAAGATCGTATTAACCTTAACAATTTACTAATATTAAATTGAGATGATATATTCTAATGTTGGTGATTTACTAATCATCTTAAATCACTTATCTCTATTTACCTGTAATCCTTAATCACGCAATTTCAATGTCACCATGATACTGATTAGTTAGTATATTTTTTTTTATATCTATTAATAATTACGATTTTCTTTGACATTATGATAATCAAATTATCTGAAAGTTAAATCAACCTTATTATTATCACGGTGTATTTTATTATGATTAAAAGCAACTAATTACAACCATTATAATTTAGGGGAAATGATGATGATGATAATTGTTCATTATTATTATCATGTAATTTACTAATGATAATTTTTGATTGTTGATTTCGCACCCTTAGTACCCAGAGACTCTTGATTTTGTCAAAAAGTTGGTCAGTCAAAAGGATTGGTCCGAATTGCGTGAAATTTTGGGCTCAAGATTGCACTTTGGTACGGCCGGAATTCGAGGTAAAATGGGCCCGGGATTTTCACGATTAAATGACCTGGTTATCATTCAAACCTCTCAAGGTGTGGCCAAATATTTGATTGAATACGATGATAAGGTAACCGAAAAGGGAATCGTCATTGGATATGATGGTCGATACAATTCAAAGCGATTCGCTGAACGGGTTGCGGTCGCATTTCTTTCACGTAACATTCCCGTTTACCTTTTCTCCGATCTGGTTCCAACACCTTTTATCCCGTTTAGTGTTAAGGTTTTGGGCTGTTCAGGGGGTATAATGATCACCGCTTCTCATAATCCCAAGAACGATAATGGTTACAAGTTGTACTTTGGTAATGGTGCACAAATTGTTTCACCTCACGATAAGGGTATTCAGGAAGCGATTATGAGTCACCTTGAACCATGGGAAGGAGCCTGGAAGCGAGATAAATTATCCCTGACGATTGATAAACTGGCCGAGATTGAGACACTTTTCTACGATGAGGTTCGTAAAAGGATTTGCGATCGATCTCTCATCGAATCATCTGATTTGGGAATAACTTATACCGCCATGCACGGAGTTTCCCATAAGTATATGACCTGTTTATTGAAGTTGGTTGGGTTTAAACAGATTCACCCGGTAGCTGAACAATCAGCTCCTGATCCAGAATTTCCAACGGTTCCTTTTCCCAATCCTGAGGAAAAGGGTGCACTTGATTTATCAATTAAATCAGCTGATGCCTCGGGATCAACGCTGATTCTTGCAAACGATCCGGATGCCGATAGATGTGCCGCCGCCGAGAAACAGCCTAACGGTAAATGGAAAATATTTACCGGCAATGAATTAGGTCAACTATTGGGAGCCTGGTTATGGGCTGAACATTGTCGCAAGGATACAACGACTTTAGCTAAAAATGTTTACATGATCGGCTCAGCGGTTTCGTCAAAGTTTTTGGACACCATGGCAAAGGTTGAAGGTTTTAATTTTATCGAAACGTTAACTGGATTCAAATGGATGGGAAACAAAGCCGATGAATTGATCAAAGAAGGGAAAAAGGTTCTACTTGCTTTCGAAGAGGCAATTGGTTATATGTGTGGAACTCATATTCTGGACAAAGATGGAATCACCGCTTCCGCCGAAGTCGCTCAAATGGCCGCTTGGTATAAGAAAAACACTGGACGAACCTTAGCTCAACAATTGGATTATCTTTACGATAAATACGGAATCCATTGTAGTAATAATGGTTACTTTTTCTCATCTGATCAAGAGTTAATTAAATCAATATTTAATCGTCTCGCTAATTGGAATGGATCTCACACTTATCCAGCTTCACTTGGACAATATAAAATTGTTCGAATTCGTGATCTTAATCGAGGTTATGATACAAGCGAAAGCGATAAACGAGCAGTAAGTAAACTGTTAATTTCCTTACTAAATGTTTGTTAACCTTAATTGAATCAATTCTAATTTCTAATTATCCTTAATTGGAAAATCATTCTCAGCGTTTACCATCAGATTCATCTAGTTTCATGTTAACCTTTTACTTTTCCAATGGCGCTTGGTTGACAATACGAACCAGTGGAACAGAGCCAAAGGTCAAATACTATTCTGAAATGTGTGCACCATCAGAAATTAAGTAAGTAATTGCAGTTCACCTTTTCGCTAATTGTTAACGTGCTGGTAATCAAATTGTAGCTGAAAAAAAAGATTAACCAGTTTGTCTGTTTCTCCATAATTACAATTAACATTCATCTTTGATTTAAACTCTTTTTTACGTTCGCAAGGATCAATAATTTTACTTTTCTCCTGCTACTTTTTTCTTCTCCCCATAGAGATCGAAGTAAGGTCGAAAAAGAACTGTCCCAAATAATCGAGCTCATGACGAAACAATGGTTACCGGAATTGTCTTCTTCTTCTTAATCCTAATCCTTCATCTTGTCGATCATTCCACTAGTTATCATCTCGCAACCATAAAGAAGAAAAAACTTTCTAAATTCCAATCAACATCATTGAGAATCAAGTGGAAAATTAACTAATTAACCAATGATGTGCTCTTAAGTTTCCAACGCTTTGCCTTTTCAGGTTATTCCAAATATATTCCTACCTTTAAGTTGATTCCGTTGATCACTAATTTTTAATAATTCAGTTTCTAAGCAGGACAATCTAATCGTTGATGCTTCAAAATCAGGGATTCAATTGAACATTGATCAATCTAAACTAATTATTCTGACTCTTTATAAATTGTTTCCGTTTGTTAAACTTGAATAAAAATTCATCAAATGCAAATTTATAAATCTAATTTGGTGTTTCCATTAAATCAACTTGTACGAAACGATTAGAAATCTTCAATAATTTTCATCTGAAACAATTATTAAAAAATTTAATTCATCCAAAATGAGTAACAAAGATGATGATCAGTTAACAGTTTGCAATTAGCTGTAATTATTATGACTTCGAGGTTGTTATGATGTTGATCAGTAGGAAGTTTTTTAAATGATATGAGTGATTTTGTGCATCTTGGATTCAAGGATTTGGTTTTCCTTACACTTCCTTTGGGATTCAAATTAATGATATTCGCAGATTATCAAATCAAATTAATGATTAATCTAATTTGATGATTGTTATGGCTTAGGCAGCTCTCTTTCTCTCTCCATTTAGATTTGTTATGATCAACAGAGTCCGAAATTTGAATGATAAGAAAAGATTTTCATCTCTTCGTATGTTTTGACTTTGTTTCGAAAGTGAGAATTAAATGTTTTGATTGATTGATTAAACCTAAACGATCAGGTAATTAGACACTTGATTCAAATGCCAAAGATGCATCTTTAATTGCATTCTCACTATACTCATTCCAAAAGGCAACTAATCGTCCCCCTGTATTCCAACAGAATCGACGGAAATTTCTCATGAATCGTCTCATATAAGTTTCATCTCCAGTAACGTTGCTCCTCCATCGTTTGGTTATCATGTAATTCCAAGCCCATAAGAACCCATTCTATTAGAAAATTGGAAACAAATAATCAATATAAACAGTGAAAAAGAAGACAGAATATATTAAATCATTTAGAATTATAAATCTCACTCTGATATCTTCTAATCCATTTCGATCCGTTTGCTTGACTCCAGAAAAATGCCTGGTGATGTATTCTTCGTGGGGACTGCAAATATCTTCAGCCTGAAGAGAGATAGAGATAAGAAAAAGATTTATTAGAAAAGGAATTAAATTGAAACATGATAATCCATGATGACTATTAATCCATTTTCATTGCGAGTAAATCACCTTTGATACTCCTTTTTGTGATTTCGTTTCTGAACTTGTATCAGGTAAAAGGACAAAAATACTTCCAGAGACATGGATAAATTGTTGCCGCTGATCTTGAGCCGCTTCGTTAAAGGTTAAAAACCCGAATCTTTTAAGAATATCTTTTCGAAAGTTAATCAGATTATCTCCTGTAATTAGATAAAAGAAAAGTATGATTAATACAATTGAATAGTTTTATGGGATGCATCATTTTTACCTTGAAGATATTGCCGAGCTTTAGAAGGTAACTCATCTAGATTAAGTTGTATAAAAATGGGACCACGAAGAGGATCTGATTTACTTGCGAATGGTAAAGCAAACGGATCATTTGGAATTGGGACTAAATGAAATCCACCGGCACCCGTTTTACGAGCCCATTGTTGGACAATATCAACAAGTTGACTACTTGTAGCAACCATCCATTGGAGCTCCATCTCATATGAATAATCTGGATGATAAGAGGCCTGATATTTAGCGTGTAACCATTCAACTCGTCCACCTTTACCCGTAGCATCTAAATCAATTACTGCTCTATTAAATTGCATAATTGACTTTCTAAGTTTAACAATTTCACTTGGTGGTTTTGACCATTCACTTGGACCTGATACTCGAGCAGGTAATAATTTCACTTCAAACCAACTTCGCTGGAACAATTCATATTTACATTCATCATCATCAATCAATTGTTCATTACATTTGTCAACAATAAAGTAAAAATGTAAACCATATTCAAATGGAATCTTATTATAACCCGATGCATGACAAATTAATCCACAATTTAACATCTCTTGGAATAGATCAGAAGCATTTTCCTCATTGAATACACCATCAATTGATTCAATAGCCCATGAAACCGCTTCAGCGCTGATGAATGTAAATTCTGGGAGACAAATATCTCTACCAAAGAAATAAACACTAAAGAGAATAAAAGAAAACAAAAAAAATCAAAGTTATATTTCAATTGAAATTCTCAAAATTCTGATTGACTTACTTTGAGTGATTTTTCAATTTATCGACCAACGTTTTATGGGACATACTCGTGTTCAATTTTTTGGGCTGAATCGATTCAATGTAATCCTCTGTATCGGCTTTATCTAAATCCACTAAATTTAATCCTGTTACGGGAACAATGACGGAAGAAGAGTTACCATCTATTTCATCGCGATTGTTAGTAAGACGATTATCACATCTTCCAGTTAATTTATTCCTAACATTGATTAGATTATTGGATAATAGTCGATCCTTGGTTGAACCATTTTCTATTATTTTGTTAGCAAGAACAATTGATTTTAAACAGATACCTGATTTTCGTTTACTTTCAGTATTCTTTTGTGTATCACTAACTAATCGTCGTCCACTTGTTGTATTTCGTCTAATGGTATTAATTATTTCGACAAATTTTAAAAACCTTCTTGTAATTGATATTTTTCTTCTAAATCCCAATTGGGATAAAGTTCACAAGTTGGATCAGAATTGTCAGCTTCATAAAGAGAATCAATTACTTTACGAGTTATCGATTCACGTTTTGGTAAAACTAGTAAACGAAGTCTCCAATATTTAAGATCATCTTTCAATTCATATTCATTATCACCTCGAGCACAAACATAATTATCTAAATAATTCCATGTATAAGATTCTAACTTTTCACTAGCAAAATCAGCCCATGAAACACCGTAAGTCTCATTGTCGGGAGCACGGAAACGATAACAGTAGTGGATCTTTTTAACCGGATAAGGATGACGAGGCCGATATACTTTAACATTGACCATTGAGCTTTCCAATTTTAAACGATGAAAAATCCTACCAATACTTAAAGTTTGATCATATGGATCACCTTGAGGATTAAGAATCATTGAACTGGGAACATTATCTTTAGGGTAAACAATTGTTTGAAAACCCATTTGAAGTCTTTGACAGATAAGCTCTTTGTAAACTTGTGTAGTAGTTAATGGGGACCGAGTTAATTGATTTTCCATCTCATTATCACCAGAACGAGAAGAATCATTTACCAATACTTCCGGAAGTAAACTATATTCTGAGGTAACATAATCATTGTCTAAACTACGATTATCAGGTATAAAATCAGTGGTCAATGGAAGACAGGCTGGAATAACAAGTGACTTCCAATCGACACCGGTTGTAATTGCTGGAGTCCATTCCTGTTCACCGGTAGCTCCCCAGGCCCATGTTAAACTTTTATCGGTATGAGGATCAGCTGATATAATTGAAGCGGTTCGACTTCCAACTCGCTTGGATCGAGTTGATTCAAGTGAATGTGGACTATCACCGCTTGGACTTAAACTTCGACCAACAGATGAATAACTATCACTACGTGGATGTTGTTTGGGTCTATGGATACCGACACAATCGTTAGACTCATTGTTACTCTCACTGTTACTATTTCGTGATTTACGATTACAAGCAGATAATGGAAGTAAAGTACACGCTGTATTTTGGGGAACTGCTTGGTAATGATGTTGTTGCATAAAAATACCCGTTGGGCCAAGAGGGAAAACGTGAGTCCAACGACGACGATTAGAAGTCAACTTAATGGATACATGGGAAGGATCAAACGGATTAATCAAGGCTTTTGGCCGGGATGTAGTGGCTCTACCTCGATATGGCAGTGTTGGGTTATTGTACCTGTGGAGAGTAAGGTCATCCTTGGATTCTAATTTAAGTCGGAGGGCTAGAAGATGAAATAATAGAAAAAGGAGAAGAAAAAAAATTGGCTAATTAGCTAATGAATTGTTTACGAAAATGAGTTAATATTAATGCTGTCGTTACCTTTTGTGGTTTTACTTTCAACAGAAGTAGAAAGAGTTCCGTGACTAGAAGCGCTTTGAGAATTGTTATTTGTAGGTATTGACATAGCAGTTGATATGGAATTAGAATTAGTTGGTTGATTGTTCATCTCCAGACCAAAAGCTAAAGCGTCAGAGGCTCTTCGTTGATTCCGATCAGTTTCAGAAAAATCAGCAAGATGAAAATGAGAGCCCATTGTTGATTTCCTTCGAGTCGATGGTTGGCACGTACTTTGACCGAAAAAAAAGAAAGGAAAAGAAAAATTTTCATATAAATATTATGTTGATATGGAAAAACGATTAACGTGGGCAGCATTCAAATACGAATCTCGGATAAATAAAACATGAGGCAAACTCACTAATTGGCTGCAAAGACATGGGATTGAGCCTTGAAAACTTTTTCATCATATTCATCATAGTCAAGAACCGACATAATCGGACAGAAATTATTGGCTGAGTCATTTGAAGTTAAGTCTCTACTAGGTGAGCGATAAAGGTTAGATTGCTTGTTCCAATTGGGTTTTTCACTCTTTGGTAAAATGTTTGGCATCTTAATACGAGGTACATAACTTGAGCAAAAGTGATTATTAGATGATGAGTAAAAACTGTGAAACAATTGTAAAAGAGAAAATATTGTAATTAGTCAATTCTATTGATAATATCATGAATAACAACTCAACAGGGTTACAGATACATGATAGAGTGGAAAATTGCATGATGATTACCTTAAATTGATCCAATGAGGCATATTATAGAGATCAGCAGCAGTCAGTGGATAAGGTGAGGTGTTACCACGATTGAACTATTATAAGTTAGAAATTGATTAGCAAGGTTTAATTATCTCTGATTAGTAAATATTATCGAACCTTGAAAAGAGGTACAGCATGTAGAGGTTGCTCTCCGAGACAAACTAAATCACTGCCGATACCGTTGTCAATGATTCGTTGTTTTGTTATGTTACTAAGCTCGAAATCAACCTCGAAAACGCCAACTCCCGGAGAGATAACTACAGATAATTGTCCAGTTCGGTCAAAACTACGATCAAGATAATGTTTTTCAAAGACTATATGAAGAGGAGAAAAACAAATTATCAGAGAATTGATTAGTGATGATTAGATGAACAAGAGATAATTGACTTACCGTTGAGTGACATGTTGAGGACTTCAAGAAAATTACCCTGAGAAGATGTTGAATTGAATGCTTTGGGTATTTTCACTCCAGGCTTATCATGGTATCTTAATACCTCTTTTTCATATTCATTGAAATGTGTCTTGAGTTGAATAAGAACTGAATTCCAATCTTCAAAGCGATCATTTTGTACAGCAACTCTGTAAAAATCTTCATAGAATCGATTCTTGTAATCTTGTTGAAGACATTGTCTCATCTCATGAGGAAATTCATCAGTACTTTTGGCTTTATAAAATGTCCGAGAAAACAAAACAATGGTTACATCATGTGTACAATTGAATCTCTAAGAGTGAATGAGAGGGTAAAGAGAGAGAGAGAGAGAGAGAGAGAGAACAATTAAGAAAATGATGATTAACAATATGATTATTGTTTTGTTACCTTCCATTTGGCAAATAGATTGTATAAGAATCCGTTTATAGCCTTTTCGAAGTAGAGATCACCATTAATATCATAGTCCCACATTTCACTGCTCATTTGAATAAAAAGATAAACCATACTAGATGCTGATCGAAATACAACTTTAGTATCTTCACCAATATAACCACAGGCAACCCGTTCACCCTGAGACCACATCTCGAACACTGTACATCGTATATTAGCATAGATTATCGTTTTGTTTAGATAAACGCAACTTTTTAATAAATGACATTTTATCCTCCACATATCACTTCGAGATAGATATTGGTCTTTAAAACTTAACTCAACAGAGTCAAGGGTAACATCTTTCGGATTAACTTTTCGCACTTTAACGTCCAGGTAAGGTCGAAGGTGGAAACTACTGGCGATTGATTGTTCAATACTAATACATTGCTTATCCTTTGATTTAACATCTTTAGGATCCAGGTAACCCTTAAGACAGAGCAATAGATGACTGAAAGAGAGAAAGAGAGAGATGAATAAACAAAAGAAAATCATAATTTTGGGTGACAAATACTCTGTGAGCTGGACAAGTGATTATCTCAAGTTCTTTACCTGTAATTAACTTCATCTGAATAGATTTCTAAGACATCATCTTTTTTAAAATCAGCAGCATCTTTAGAGCTAATCAGAAGTTCCTCTTCTACTATGGAGAAATGAAAGTGTCGAGAGATGTTGAGATTACCATGAAGAAATGAAGAGTCAGGGGAAAAGAATAAAAATAAAACAATTAATTAGAATAAATATTTCATGATGATGAAAATTATAAAAGAATAAGAGAAAGAGAAAGAGAGGTTCAGGTTAGCAACAAGAGAAAAGAAAACCAATCATCTTTATGAGCTTTTCTTTCATCACTTTTGGGTTCTCATTATGGAAATTTAATTGATTCTTACCTTTAACACTTCCATGGACTTGAAGTTTGTATACTCTCTCCATAATTGGAGAGTTTGTGTCATTTGTAAATAAGCTAATTAATCACTTGTATAGATGATAATTTAAAATTCTGGAGAGAAAAATAAGAGAGATTGATTAATAGAAAGACTAGAGAGAGAGAGAGAGAGATTGTTACATAAGCAAAGTTTTTCCATTAGAAGAGAAAAATAAATAAATATTAATAACAAGAATAAAGAAAAAATAAGAAAGAGAAAAAGAGAGTAAATTGAATAAAGAGAAAGGGTTTTACAAAACAATATATTCTCTCTATTCTTCACACATTATCTTCTTCTAAATTAATAACGTGATTAATTAATGGTAATTAGAGTAAAGTCAAAGTGTAATTCTAATTATTCATCATTGTTGTTGAATAAATGAATCAAAGTGAAAGAGGGACAAGAGACATTCTCATTGTGAGATTAAGTTACTAACCATTTTGCAATTTGGATTAATAAAGAAAAAGGATGGACAATTAGGGAACAATTAACTAGAATTGGAATTAAATTTGATTTAATTAGTGAGAGAGAGAGAGAAACATTTAAATTGAGAATAGAAAAATTTTCACATTTAAACCTTGGGTTTAAACGTGTAGATGGAATTGGTTTTTACTGGCTTGATTTGGTTTCTAATTGATTGGTGATTTTAAATGATGAACGATTGCTGAAATGATTAATCAATTTTCTTGCTAATAGACTGGAATAACGATAGTAAATAGATCAACCTATTCAATTGGATTAAAACTGACCACAATAATAGTGTAACAATTAAATGAAAATCACAGGAAAATTTTCCTTTGTATAAAATGTTACTTATTATTCAATGGTGATGATGATGATCACCTTTTTTTGGAAGCACAAGATTAGTAGTTAAGTGTTTTGTTTCACTGTTTCAATTAATTACAATTAATTGGCCGATAAATATAAAAGATTAATTCACTAGTTGGTTAATTAAAATAAATAGAAAATAAAAATGAAAATAGAAACAAAAATTGGGTAATTTAGGTTGACCAGTTTTCTGGTTAAAGAGAACAAAGAAAAAAGTGGAAATGAGAAAAAAAAAGATCAACTTACTTTTTAATTTTATTTGATTTGGAAAATTAATCAACTCATTAAAAAAAAGGTTAAACGGTTAACAGAAGAAACGAAATTAAAATTAAAATTTTACAAATAAACTATAATATAGATTTAATTAAATCCATAATCAGGTAACAATCAAGGTCGAGGTTTGGAATTGACAATTTAAACTCTTCTGGTTGACAGATGATCGCAAAAGGATAAGTGTGATAAATAGAATCAGCTGATTGGAATTTTTTTCAAACAGAAAAATAAAAAAAATCTCTCATTTTCATTTTCTATTGATTTTTAGTGAATTAATTATTATTATTATTCTTTTAATTGTACCAATTATTTAATTAGTCGATTCTTTTGTGTATTTAGAGTTGTTTTTCGTTGTATTGGTTTGGTTAAAGTTTTCTACTTTGTGATCGTTTCCATTTTTGGATCTTATTGATGTGATGATTTTTTTTTGTTTTTCTTTTCATTTGTTTTTTATTTTTTAATTGTTGTGTCAAGTGATTAGATTGTGGTTTTTGATCATGTTTGATGAAGATGGTGACGATGGTATTATCATCTATGGGACTCCGTTGCCACCATTAGAGGATAATGAGAATGCCAGTAAAAAACCTGAGATTGACCTTACGGTTAGAGACTGGAAAGGTAGACGTCGATTCCATGGTGCTTTTACCGGTGGATTTTCAGCTGGATACTTTAATTCTGTTGATACTGAGAAAGGTTGGATACCCTCACAATATGTGTCCAAGAAAGGTGAACGTTGGGATAAAAAGTTACTCTCAAATAAACCGGAAGATTTCATGGACGAAGAGGATTTCAGTCTATTCGGAATTGCTCCGAAAAAGGTTCATACCAAAGATAATTTTAAGGGACCAGAGCCTGAAGCATTTGCTGGTCTTCGAGATTCTAATGCATCACTTATTGATGTTCTCAGGGATATAATTAAACCTACTAACCAGTCGATTGGTGTTAAATTGTTCACAATAATGAAAAAAGGACGAAAGTATAAAGGAGCGTTCATAAAACCAAAGGTGAGATTTTAAATTATTTTCATCATGTTTTAAATTTCTTTTGAAAAATAATTTTCTTTTTCTCATTTCAATTCCAGACTAATGCAAAAGTCTATGGATGTAGTATGCCTCCACAATTTTCAACATCCAAAGATGACAATGAAAATGATTCTGATGGTGAATCGATAATTAGACCAGAAATATTTTCCTTACCATATAAACCTAAAAATGATTTCCATGGAATCGGTTACAAGTCTTTAAAATCAATCATCTCAAATGAGAAAGAAGAATCTATCCCAATAGCTGCAGTTCTTGGTGGAAATAAACGTCTAATGATTTCAGGTGAAGCATTTGGATATGGGGCTTTAGAAGAAGATGATGATGATTACGCAGAGGATGCAATGGTTTACTCTAAAGTTGATCTATCAAAATATGATTTCGAAATCGGATCAGTTAAAAAGATTAAGCCCGAACCAAGTACTTCGGCCATACCATCAAATCGAAAGGGAATCCTTGAAGGATTTACTCTCGCCGCAAGAATTGAATCAATTTACTCGTCCAAGAGTAAATTGCCCGATATTCCAAGAAATTGGAAGCCTCATCCTCCCTTTTTAAAAAGCAAACGAACCTCTAGATGGAACCAATCTTCGTCTTCCTCTTCAACAACAACCGAAGATGTCAAACCAACCTCAGCAATTATCGAACAATTCAAATCGCTTCCTTCTTCAAACTCTAAGCCTGTAAATAGATCTAAACCCCTAGATGCCAATACTCGAGCCGTTTTACTTGGAGAGGAAGTTGACATTGTGGTGGGAATAAAAAAGCCAAACGAATCTAAGCCTTCAACTATCACCTCCGAATCTGAGGTGAAAAAGAGTCAATCAGATCGACCGGTAGCACCTTCTCATCCCATGAGTGCTTTTTTCTCGAATCGATTTGTTCAAAGCTCTGAACTTGAGGAGGAGAAACTTAAACCAGGATTAGTTGAAGCAAAAAGTATTAATTACATGAAACCAAAATCTACACAAGAAGATGAACTAAACGATGAATCAAAAGTTGGTACAACTAAACGAGAAACCTTCCAATGGCATCCACATACTCTCTGTCTAAAAGGTTCAATGTTCCTCATCCTTATCCACAATTTCCTGATGTTGTTGGAATAATCAACATCAATCGTGATCAAATGATCTCAGATAATAAGAAGATTCCAAGCTCCAAGCCAAATATTTTCAGTTCACTAACAGATTCACCAACAGTTTCATCAACTCCTTCCATCTCGAAAACTGAGACGAATACAATTCCTCGTCCAAGTTCATCATCAACCTCTATCATTGAGAAAAATTCTGAAGAAATTCCTGAGAAAATTGAACGACCTCCTTTGGATTTATTCAAAGCAATTTTCGCTTCCGATGAATCAGAATCAGATGATGAAGATGAAGATGAAGATGCCGAGAAGAAGAAGAAGAAAGATGAAAATAAAGATAAAGAGAAAGAGAAAATAGAAATAAAATCAACTATAAATCCAACAAGTTCCGAGAAAGATGAATTAAAAGAATCATCAAAAGCGACTATTGATAAGTCGATAAATTTATCAATTGTTTCTCGTGATCAAGTTATCCAACCCCAACCATCAACATCTAAAGCGGGAATTTTTTCTGGCCTCAATTTAGATTTAATCAACAAGAAGATCTCATATGCATTACCCACCAAAGATCATGGAGATTCAGATAATGATGCGCTAACACTAGAATCTCAAGTGATGAAAAAGGATAAACAAGATGTAGAGAGTGTTGATGATTCTTATGGACCCGTTTTACCACCAGACAATTTAAGTACATCATATGAGAAAAGCAATTATAAGAAAAAAGATAAAAAAAGGAAAAAATCTAAATCTAAATCTAAATCTAAACATAAATCAAAGAAATCAAAATCTAAACATCGCCGACGATCAACATCAAGCGAAAGTGATTCAGATGAAAGCAATTCCAGTGATTCGGATGAGATTCATGCTAAAAGACACAAATCGTCTCATCATTCAAAAAGATCAACATAATAACTGATGAAATTTTATTTCATAAAATTAAATGAATTTATTCAAATGAAAATTGTAAAAATCTCACCATTATATTAATTTTATGTAAATGAATCAATAATGTTTTTTATTTGATTGTTTCGTTAGCAAATGAAAATGTTCATTATAACAATTAATGGCCATCAAACTGATCAGTTGATTGTTTAAGCCTTAATACTATCACATAAGTCTAATCCCAAGAGACCACATGCATATTTAAATAATTGCCGATTATCTTTAAGATCGTTAATTACGGTTTTCCAATCAACATCCTTTGATCCCGATTGTGATTTGGTTTCTTCAAGATAACTAATTAAACCATCGACATCTCCAGCGTGAAGATGTTCAAGTAAATCAGTTTTCTTTGATAAAATAAAGGAAACCAAAGTTACTCGATCAACACTTTCCAATGAAGTTCCGGCTCCGGTGTTTCTCATGGCCCAGATAACGAGAGAGGGAAGGCCATGTTGCTTTTCTTCAGTGGTTCCAATGGCTTTTAAGAAAGCGATCTTTGCGAAAACTGCAGGCCAAATGACACCTTCGGTTCCTGATTCGGCTCCATTGTTGGATAAAAACAAAGTCGCTCCAACAATATCGTTATCGTTGTAAAAGTTGAGGAATTTTTGTCGATACTTTTCAGTGAATGCGTAAAATTTGGCAGCGTCAATCCGACCTGCTTCACTGTCTTCAGCTGGATCGTAAGAGGCCCAGATCAATAATGGAATTGGCTCGGTAACGGGTCCATCGGCTAAAGAAAAAAAGTTTCGGAAAAGTTTTGTTAGAAAAATTTTCGATCAAAATTATCAATAACTTTTAACCAACTTGATTTACCTGAGATAGGTTGAGAAAAGGCAATTAAAAGGGTAACAAAGGTAATAGTTAACTTAATCATGATTGTTGATTAATTGTTTTACTTGAGAGATTGGTGATTAAATTAGAACTTCCCTAAATCACTATTGGTTTTTATACCAAATTTTCTTGTGATTAGTAACAATTTATTGTTGATGATTGATTTTCGACATTGATTGTTGATTGATGTAACCATATTTTTTTTTGTATAAGTAAAATTAAACAATTGCAATACATATAAATTTGTTTATTTTATCACTAATTATTGTTGCCCTGATTAAAGTAATCAAGTTAGGATCAAATTAAGTACAATCGTCTTTATTATCAATGCCAAAACTAATAATACTTGTAAATCATTTCAATAACTAAACAATTGAACGTGAATCACCTGTTAATCAAAAAAAGCAATAAACTGAGTATTAATTAACTTTTTAAAAGCTCAAAAAGCATAAGAAAAATAGAAACGAACAATTAATTTTTCTTTTCTCCATCAATTTGATCCACATCAATTTCATTTTAAATACACATATGATGTACATATGATCCATGATGTCCAGTGGAACCTTTTCCTCGTATTCTGACAAAGCCCTGCATGATATCATTATCATGATCATATGAAATTGTCTGTAAGTTAATCTTAAAGTTACGATAAGCCGACTGAGTTTAATCACATGGCCACTTTTCACCAACATTCAAGTCTCAATGGTGACGCACCTTTGAGTGGTCATTCTCGTCAATCAGGTCCAGTCGAACCATTTAGGTTGAACCAAGTTTCTATTTAGCACAGAATTTTCTCTATTTAGTTTGGACATTTTCTTTAATTATTTATTATTTCTACTTCGAGACTTTTTCCAGTGTAAATCATAATGTTCTCATAATAGTTGATTCAATCGTTTTCACTTGCAAGATCAACTCATTGAAAAACATCATCAGGGTTATTTGGGTTGAATCGATTATAATTTTCGACAATTGGTTTTTTCTTTTCTTCACTCATTAGAACCATGGTTCTGAATAGAATGAAAAATCAGAAGAAAATATCCAAGCTAAATAGAAAATCTTTCCGTAGAAATAAAAAAGATTTCAACCTTTTTAGAAAAAAAGATTAACCGATGGACTGTACCTTGGGACTCATCATGCAACTGAGCCATGGATTGAGATTCATTCATCTTTGATGATGATAAGTCATCAGGCTGATACAGTCGCTGCATTGGCGATTCCATCAACATCATTCGCTTCATCTTCATCAGATATTAAGCCCAATTGTGTTGGTTTCAACACCGGTGGAAACAAAAGTGAAAGTAAGGAGGAAGTAGGAGGAAGGAGGAGGAAACATGATTAGTTGAAGCTAAGAGTAAATTAACTAAACGATCAATCAAAATTTAAACATCGTCGGCGATCAAGATCAAGTTAAAGTGATTCTAGTGATTCTGATGAGATTCATTCTCAAAGACAAATCATCTCATCATCCAAAAAGATCAACTTGATAACAGTTAACGATTTTCGTTAAATTTATTCAAATTACTAATTGATAAATTGAAAAATCTAATCAAAATATTTATTGTAAATGAATCAATAATAACAATCAAACTAATAAGTCGATTTTTTAAGCAATTGTGTCACATATTAGTAGTCCCAAAAATCCACATGCATATTTAAATAATTGCCGGTTATCTTTAAGATCGTTAATTACGGTTTTCCAATCAACATCCTTTGATCCCGATTGTGATTTGGTCTCTTCAAGATAACTAATTAAACCATCGACATCTCCAGCGTGAAGATGTTCAAGTAAATCAGTTTTCTTTGATAAAATAAAGGAAACCAAAGTTACTCGATCAACACTTTCCAATGAAGTTCCGGCTCCGGTGTTTCTCATGGCCCAGATAACGAGAGAGGGAAGACCATGTTGACTTTCCTCAGTGATTCCAGAGGCCTTTAAGAAAGCGATCTTTGTGAAAACGTCTTGCCAAATGACACCTTCGGTTCCTGATTCGGCTCCATTGTTGGATAAAACAAAGTCGCTCCAACAATATCGTTAGTGTTGAAAAAGTTGAGGAATTTTTGTCGATACTTTTCAGTGAATGCGTAAAATTTAGCAGCGTCAATCCGACCTACTTCAACATCTTCGGCTGGATCGTAAGCGGCCCAGATCAATAATGGAATAGGCTCGGTAACGGGTCCATTGGCTAAAGAAAAAAAAGTTTTGTTAGAAAAATTTTCGATCAAAATTAACTTTTAACCAACTCGATTTACCTGAGATAGGTTGAGAAAAGGCAATTAAAAGGGTTACAAAGGTAAGAGTTAACTTAATCATGATTGTTGGTTAATTTAATTGTTTTTGCTTTAAAGGTTTATGATAAAACTTGAGGTTTCTAAATCATCGTGGGTTTTTATATCGACTTTTTTTTGTGATTAGTAACAATTTATAGTTCTTGATTGATGTAACCATATTTTTTTTTGTCTAATTAGACAATCGCAATTTATAAATTTGTTTATTCTTTCACTAATTAACTTATTACCTTGATTAACTCAATAATGGATCGATTTAACTATAATTGGTTTAAATAATCAGTGTCAAAACTAGTTGAAAAGGAATCTTATGATCAAACAATTAAACACAGCTACAATTGGATTACTTCTAAATCAATTAATTAAATCACCTGTTAATCAATTAAACCAATCAACTGACTATCAATTGAAAGCTCAAAGAGTATGATTAAAATTGGAAAAAGAAAAATGAAAATCAACAATAAATTTTCACCTTTACCAAATCTAAATGCCATGGAATCAAATTAAAGATGATTAGTTAATTTGGGCAATAATTTAAAACAACAATCTAATGACAATTCAAGTTGCAACAATTTAAATTGACTCGAAATTGAAAAAACTATCGAAAAAAAATAGAAAATGAAAATCGCGCTTTTCTTTGGGAAGATTTGATTGGTTGATTTCCAACCGAATCTCAGTTACAACAAATGTTGAATCTTTGGTTGGAAACGTTTTTTTTTACTCAATTTAATTTGTTTGTTTTCTAATCAATTTAATTGATTTTAAATATTCTCTCTTTTTGTTTTAATTGTTTCGAATTGTGAGTTAATTAATCATGTCATTTGAGAAGCGTCTTGCTGCTAGTATTGTTCAATATCTTGGTGATCAATTACGAAGTGATGATTTAACTGGTGAAGACAAGGAAGGCTTAGAAGGTAAGAGAGAGTCTTTGTTATTTTCTATTCTTTTCTCTGTCTATTTTACTTTCGACCCTTTTCTATTGGGTACTTTCTCTTTCTCTCTTCCCTCTTTTCCCTTTCTTTTTGATTAGTAAAAAAAAATAATTAATTCTATTCTTTTGATGATGATTAATCTTATTGGTTGAATACATTTCCATTGTAATTAATTCTTTTCTCTTCTCTATTGTCACTATTTGTGATTTATTCTGATCAGTTGCTATCCAATGTCTGGAAACCGTTTATCGTATTAGCTCAAGTGATGTCCATCTTTTACCATCTCGATCACTGGTGGAAATTTATCAAGATGCCATTAAAAATGAGCCTTTGGGCAAGGTAATTTACCTTTTCTCGTTTGGTTGTTTTAAAAATTTCGCACAAAATTAATTCACTTTCTTTGTCCATGTCTTAGGATTCCGATGAGCCTGTTTCTGAAGAAGATCGTAGGGAAGCGGAAAATCTTAAAACTCGAGGAAATGACCTGATGAAAATGGAACAGTACAAAGATGCTTTAGATTCTTACACCAAGGCTATCAAATTGGATCCAAAAAATGCTGTTTTCTACTGTAACAGGTTAGTAATAAGAAGAGAGAATATAAATTAATCTTCTCATCAACAATTTATTTTCTAATTTTTTATCACCATGGTGTTCAAATGTTTCCATGTAATTATTGCTACTCTCTGGATACTCAATAGTGAATCGGATTTCATTCAGTATTTTCCAATCATTATCCTCTTATCAGCTTCACTTAATGCAGAAAAATTAATTTAATCCATTATTTCTGATTAATTATTGACGTTTCCTTTACCATTTGAGTTCAAAACATTACCAACATTTTGATAATTAATTTTAAATGACTTGCATAAAATTTTCAATCATTTTCTGCTGCTCATCTTGTGACAAGATCTATTGACCATATCAAGAGTAATTTGTATTGACTTGAAATTTTTGGTTTCATTTTACCAGGGCTGCTGCTTATAGTAAATTAAATCAACACACCTTTGCTATTGAGGACTGTCGTAGGGCTATTGAAATTGATCCCAATTATAGTAAAGCTTATGGACGAATGGGTTTAGCTTATGCTAATCTTAATAATCATCATCTTGCTCGAGACAATTACAAGAAAGCTTTGGAATTGGATCCTCATAATGACAGTTATTCCAGCAATCTTGCCGTTGCCGAGGACAATATAGCTGAACTTGAGGTGAGTAATTTAAAGATAATTTGGTTTTTGTATCTCGGCAATTTAATGTTGATTTTAAAATTTTTTCTATTACATTCTGATTTATATTATAGAGATCGAATCCATTCTCAACCTTCCTTCAAAATCCAGCGGTGGCTCAAGTTGCTGAAGGTCTTCTTCAAGATCCAGGTATGCAAAACATGGTTCGAGGTGTGATGAGTAATGTTTTTGGGTCTCTGGCTGGTGGTGGTGGTGGACGACCTGGAGGACCTCCGTCCGGTGCCCCATCAGGTATCCCTAATCCTCCTGAGGATTTTCCTGCACCAGGTGAAGGTGGCCCAGGAATACCTCCTATGGGACCCGGAGGTTTACCTGGAGTCTTACCAGGAGGTTTATCAGCTGATGCATTATCTGGTATAAACATTGAAGCAATGATGAATATTGGTCAACAATTAGCACGTCAATTTCAAAATATAAATCCAGATCTTTATGATCAGATTCGACGAGGAGTCGATGGTAATAATCCACGCAATAATGATAATAATAATTCCAACGATGGATCCAACAATTCATAAATTGCTAAACAAAAACTATTATTTCCTTTTCTCCTCATCAGTGATCATTTGGTAGACACTGAAATACTGTTTGATAAACAACAAAATGTTTCCAAATATGATAAAAAAAAACAGAGTTTAATCCTCACAAATTAATTAGCAAAGGTAAAACAAAACTGAAATAATTTAGTTCAATACGACCCAGAGACCATTTGTTAACCAAAAGAAATGATAATATAAGAAAACAACGATAATTTCAATCCTAAATCAAGAATATGAAATTTTCGTATCAAGTAAAAGTGTTGCCATTTGTATTAAAAATGGGGAAAAAAAATTTTCTCGTAATTTGTAAAAGATTAATCTTCTTAATTGTTAAATTTGACAGTTTAACTCAATTCTAGATTTTATTCAACCTATTTGCAAGTATAAAATGCCATTAATACAAGAGAATAGTAAAAAAAAAATAAGCTCATGCTTATTTTCCCATTTCTATGGTCTCCTTATATCGGTAAGAAAAAGTCGAGCGGACGGGCAAAGACCCAAGTCCAATAAAGTTCGTTCCATGTCCTCTTCGGTAAACGCTTTATTCGGTGGCATATGAAGTTTAAATGGTCGAGTTGCACTATCCGGTCCAAAGAGATCCTTTCGATTCAATTGAATAAATAATCTAACCGCTGCAAGTTGTTCATTTGGAGTGAACTTTTGAATAAGCGAAGATCCATCCGGAAGTCTAATGGCCAATTTACATTCGGATGCATTGGCCCCACTTGTTCCAGTGTTGGTCACTTTACTAGGAGTCGATCCACTTGTAGAGGGTATTGACGATGTATTTGTTTGATTTTCTCTCTTCATGGCTTCCCTGTCTTTCTTTATTTGCTCTGGGAAAATTGAAGAGAACAATTTGTTAGAAAAAAAAAAAGATAAATAGGAAGTGATAGAATTTCGAAAATGGATCATGTTTAATTCTTACCAAGAACGGATTTTTATGAGCTTCTCGCTCCAATTTTTCCTTCCTTATCTCTTGGGCGATACGAATTTTCTCTTGAGTCTCATATTGTTCACGAAATTTGCTTATCTCTGATCCAGTTTCCCGTCTTTTCTTTTCCTTTTCAATGGCTTGTTTTCTTTCCTCTTCTTCTCGGATTAAACGCCTCTGTTTAATCTTATCTTCAAGTTTTTTCTTTTCCGCTTCAATCTCTTCGGCAGTTTTCACTTTCTTCTCTTCGGTGGCAACACCATCGTTCAAACCTTTACTCAAATTGGCAGCGACATTTTCACTTGGTAAATTTGAATCTTTCGCAGGTGAACTACCATCAGCACCAACAGCGTCAGTGGAAGGAGGAGAAACAGCAGTGGCAGTGGCAGGAGAAGATGAATTATCAACCGGAGGATTGAATTCTCGTTCACTCTCAGTTATAATCCATTCCATGACTTGATCCAGAGATTCACATGTTGTTGAATTACAAGCTCGCTCGATTTTGGCTTCATCGAAACCCATTTCTTTCAACTTGATTACAATATATTCTCGCATTTCGGACATGCTTGCAATTAATCAAATTCTTAAACCAAAAAATAGTAAAAAAAATAAAGAGAAAACACTTTGAAGATGAGTAACTTGAGAGTAACACCAAAGAGACAAAAAGATGTGGATTAGGTTAGAGAATGGATCAGATCGATGTTAACTGCAAAGAGAAGAGAACATTAAATTAGAAGATATTCTTGTCAAAGATAATCAAGAGATCGAATTAAAGAGGAGAATAAATTAAGAAGCAAAAACAAAAGAAAAATATCCGAACCAAATGGATTTAAATAGAAGAGAAAAGAAAATGTATCAACACTGAAGAGAGAAAAAAAAGTGAAAAAGAAAATCTAAAATTCTAAAATTCTAATTTCACCCTGTTAAACAAATGAATCTCTATGAAAAAAAGAACAGACAATTTAACGAAAGCAACATGATCAACTGATTAATCTTAAAACACAGATCACAATTAATGTCAACGATTAATTAACAAGATGGAAAACAATTAGAAAATAAGATTCTCATTTTGTGGAAAAATTGAAAACGAGAATTGAGTTGATAAGAGAATAGAATGAGATTTGATTTAATCTAATTAAAAAGCAAAGAAATTGGGATCAACTGTCACAGGATAATAGGAGAATTAGTTTAATTGTCTACTTACCTTAATTACTGTCAACAAGAAAAAAGTATTAATTAATTGTAGTCAATTGAAACAATGAACATTTAAATCTGTCAAACATTAAGAAAAAGCCTCAATCTTATCAATAGGATCATCGGTATCCAATCAGTTGAACTAAAGACCGGGCAAATTGAATGAGAAAAGAAAATGAAATTAATTAATTTTCATCCAACAATTTAACTAATTTAGAGTTAATTTGATTTTCACTTCGGGGAAAAAGTGATTGAATCACTTAGGCCTTTCGATTGGCACTGAATCGGCAAAGTTTTTTTTCCTTTCGCGGTTGATTTTAGATCAAAAATCGACATTTTCAAGTTCGAGCTGAAAAAGTTCAACCAATTAATTTAGAATTTTAATCGAGTATTTAATTCAATTAGTAGTTTGTTGATAATTAACTCGCACGTTAATCTGAATATTTAGCTAATCATTTCTATTACAATTAGTGATTAAGTTACAATATTGTATTCACATGAAATGCTTGACCAATGGTTGGTCAATATACTCAACAATCAACTGACAATTATAATGAATGATTGAGGCTTTTGATTATGAGTACAAATTTGAGTGACGAAACAATTAATTAGTTTTAATTTAACTCGAAAAATTGTTAATTAGTTTAAATGTTTCAGATGAAGAAATTAATTCATCCTCGACTGACCAATAGTTGACCAGTTATATTTAAATGGCCTAAAAAATATATGGAAACAAAAAGATAATCATTAGTAATTAAGTGGGTAGTTAATTAACAGTTGAAAGAATTTATGTTCAACAATCAACTGATTTTCACCACAAAACAAACAATTAAGGATAAATGGTAACAATTAACTTTCTCATTCACTACAAACATAAACAAACATTTAGTTAATTGTCATCCAATCGTTTAACATTCAGATTGGAATCAAGGTTTTCGTTTAAATTGTTGACCATCATGTAAACAGTAATTTAAAGTGTAACAATTAAGAAAAAAGTAAATTTAATTTCCACTAATTAATTGTAATCAAATGAAAACAAATAAGACAATAAACAAAATCAATTCTCTGGTTTAATTATCTAAATTGTTAAATCAATTGAACTAAAGACCCGCGGGTAAATTAAAATGAAGAAAAGATAATCAAATTAAGTTAATTAAGTAAATTAATGATCACTAAAGGAGAAAGAGAGAAAGAGAGAGAACAAAAAATTGTTAATCAACAACAATTAAATTAAATTGGTGACTTACACTGAAAGGATCATTAATTGAACAATATAAAAGTTACGAAAGGGTAACAATTAACTCTTGAATAGCTGAACTAACAATTTAATTTAAGGAACAATTGAAAAGTTAATACAAAGTTAAACAAGTAGATCAAAAATGGACCAATCATAATTTTTAATAGTTAATTGTGATACTAATTAAGAAAAAAAGAGAAACAATTTAAACAGGTCAAGGTTTACCAATCAATCAGTTGGAATCAAGTTTAATCATTTAACTTAATTGTCGCGTTTAAAATGTGATCTTGTTTGGTTTTGTTTTTTTCGTCGTTTCTGTTGTACGAAAAGTTTTTACCAATAAACTAGTAATTTAATCACCTTTGTAATTGAAATTGATCAATGGATCAATTTAATTATCAATCGGGTTAACAATTCGTAATGTTAATTGTGAGTACTTGATGTCGCTGCGTGACCCATAGAAAGAAAGAGAAGACAAGATTCACTTTCTTTTTCATCTTCTTCATCTTCTTCATCTCCTTCGCTGTGACATGTTAACCTAATTTCGTCGTTTCATCCAAAAGCGATCTCGAACTAATAGAAAATGAAGAGAGAGAGAGAGAGAGAGAGAGAGAGAGAGAGAGAGAGAGAGAGAGAGAGAAAATCAGGTAGAAAAAAATTCTAATTAACTTAATTATCCATTTAATTGAGTAACTATGAACTTAGATATTGATTCATCTTTATTGTTAATAATTTGTGATTGTTGGTAGTTGATTAAGATGATCAATTGTTATGTTTACAAAGTTTAATATTGCGACACATTTGTGAACATGATTAACGTTGATTAACGGTGATTAATTATTGAACAATTGATAATGAATCAATTGAAAGTTCAAGAACCATGAAAAGAGAAAACAAATTGACAATCTGAGAAATCACCGAAAAGGTAACATTAAATGTTAACTTGTTACCGATTGTGATCATAATTGAAACGTGAACGTGTTTTTATTATTTTCCTGTTCAAGGGAAAATGCTAATTAAAGGTTTGATTACAATCAACGATTTGAATCAACGATCGTTAATAAGATTAATAAATTGTGGTTCTAATGTTGATTATCTGGTGTTTGTTTCTATTCAAATTCAAATAGGAAAGGAAAAGAAAAAAAAATTCCCTTCTCAACAATATCAACAGAATTGATTGTAATTATAAATCATCACAATCAAATGGTTCATGTTGATTATTTACTAAGATTATCGAAAGGCTTAAGTGTGAAAAACAGTAAATTGGTGATTTGGATTAATTGATTCACAAGAAGATGAGATAAAGATAATTAATCGGTTAATCTAAATACGGATGTTGATTAATTTTGAAAATTTTAAGATGATTAGGAGGATGAGAAGATCAAGTTTATCCCAAAAATAGTCTCATCATCATGAGGACACACGAAGTACAAGTATAAGTAAGTCAGTAAAAGGAAGAGCGATGATGAGGATGAGGAAGAGAAATGAGCTTTTGTTATCGTTCTAACTGTTGTTATAATACAAAAGATTATCAAGACAAGTTTGGGAAGAAAAGAAAGAGAAAAAGAAAGAGAAAAGACCTTTGACCTCTAAGATTTTCTCTCTTCGCTTAGATATTCTTGTTCCTTTCTCTCTCTCTCTCTCTTCCTCTCTCAAAAGTTATGATGATCATCATCATCTTCCTCTGTTTTGTAAGGTCAATGCCACTTTCACTTTCGCTTATCAATCGTTACCGTTTCGATTGTTATCCCATTAGAACGGTTCCTTTTTCGAGGATTTTCACTTTGGTTCATCTTCGCGATCAATACGTTTGTATACTCGTTAATTGATATCGATAGGAAGTCAAATGGACCCAACGGAAGTGCCAAAAATAAGATTGAATATCTTGGTGGTTCTTATTGATTCTTAGGTCTGTGTGTTTACTTCACGTTCCAGTGAAGAGTGTGTGAGAAAAAAATGGTTCCTTTGTTGTTTAAGCTTCTCTTTCTCTTTTTGCTCCATTTACTGGCCTCCGAAAATGACCCTTAACAAGAGCTAAAGTGGGAGAGGTCAGTCTGTCAGTCGGTGGCAGTGAAAACATTTCTCTCTCTCTCTCTCTCTTTTTTCAAGATCAATGGCAAAATAGCAAAACAAAAGGTGTACATAAGGTTAACATAAGGCAGATGAAAAAAGGAAACTCTAAACTTACTGGACATTTGACTCGGACCAGCGGTCGAAATGATAAATTATATTTAACATTGAATTTTCTGTTCCGCATTTCAATTGAAATTTATCAATAGGTAAATATGATTATTTATATAATCATTTGTGCTACAAATTAACCAATTAAATTTTTATTATGATGATGATGAATGAAGATAAGTGTGTGTGAAAGGAAGAGGGAGAATTGGATGTTAAACAGATTCAGTTATAATCATGGAGATGATAATGATAAATTAAATGGAAACAAGGTTATCAGGGGAAAGGGGGTGGAGATGATGATATAAATGACCTACAAGATGAGTGAGAGAGAGAGAGAGGGAGGGATGAAGATGAAATCGAATTGAACTCATCAAGGTATAAACAGAAAAATCAACGTTCTTTTTCAATTCTCTGTGAGATTTGATGGAGAGAAAGAGTTGCAAGAGAAAGAGAACAGGAGAGAGATGAAGAGGAAGTGGGAGTGGGAGTTTGAGGGTGGTGGTGACGATGACGATGATACGAGTAACTGGGAGAAAGAGAAAAATATATGAAGGGGAAAAAGTCCTTCACTTTATGAACCAAATTCAGTTTCGAGTCTGTTCGTAACAGAATAAAAATCTAGGGCATCATCATCATCATCGTCATCATGATCATTATAAGATGAGAGAGAATAAGAAGAGAGAGAGAGAGATGAAAGTGTAATACGATAATCACACAGGCGCAAAGTTCTGTGACCTTAACCCAGACTGTCTCTTAGCCTATTTACCCAAGTGAGATAGAAAAAGAAAGAAAGAAAAAAGTTCGAGATAAAGTTTATTTCGAACTCGAATCAGAGTCAAAAATGAGAACGAATTTATTGTAACAAAAACACTAATACGATGATAATCTTTAAACAGATCAATACTTTGGGTTATACTAAACAATTGGAATGGTTTCGAATTTTTTTACATCATGATTAACACTTATGATGATTATTACGATGAGATTAAATCTAACCCAGTGAGAGAGATTGAATTGATTGATTGAATCATTTAAATTTGATTCTCACTCATTATCTATTGATTATAACCATGTCGTTGGCCCTAATTGATAATACGTTGACAATTTGTTTACCTTAATAGTTTTATCAACGTTCTCATCATCATTCTATTAAATTCTATTCAAGGCAACGAACATCATGATTTCCATAGTAACCTTATTTTCCTCATGAAATCAGGTCATTCAATCCTAGAACTTTTTCCCCTCTTTCTCTCTCTCTCTTTTCTATTTCTTTAGCTATTCTAGTGCTACACATCTATTTTTCCCTTTTTCTCATCACCATGATGATGATATTTTACCAGAGAAAAACACTCAACGAATAACCTCTATCATTAATTTTCTACCAGAATAATTAATATATTCTTACATGAAAAGTTCACATGAAACAGGATAAAATGATTGAATGAGAAAAGTGCAAAGAATTGAAATATCTCTGAACAATTTAATTTCTCTTTCATATTTCCATTGTTTTCTAATGAGAGAGAGAGAGAGAGAGAGAGAGAGAGAGAGAGAGAGAGAGAGAGAGAGAGAGAGAGAGAGACTGAGAGAGACTGAGAAGGAGCTATGAAGATAGACAAAGAAACTCAATTGATAACCAGTTTTGTATTATCATGAAACCAGAAAACTAATAATACGAAAACATGAACATAAAGGTAAACTGAAAAGGTGAACAAAACAAAACCCAGAGATTTATAAAAAGCATTCA